CAATTTTCTCCGCCCACTGGTGGCTTGGTTGATTTGGGAATAGGGTTTACTGGCAAATGATAAGAAAGCGTGTGTTCAAACGGACACTAGTTAGTTATGACTACATCTGGTGGACTATGACACCATAGCGAGCCTGTGATGTTACTAGAGGTTGATTTGGAGACATTAGAATGCAGGCATGACGAGGTCGCCTGATGGATGGATGATGGCGTATTTGCCCCGGACGTTCTTGGAAGGACCATGATATCACAGAGGTGCTCGAGAAGGTTGTTCTATACGACATAAGAAGCCTCTGTTATTTCCGGGAGGATGGAAAGTTCGTGGAAGATGGCATCGTGTTGATCAGGGCCTTTGCAAGTCTGACCGAACACCGACGGAGGGCGGGCTGTAGTGGCGCGGAAACCTACGGCAGCCGTTGCGCCACATGTCACCTGCCACATGCGTGGCGCCCACACGCGAACCTTGCCGCACCTGCTATCATCTTGTCATCGCACCGTTCCACTTTAGTTACGTAGACACCAGTTGCGCCAACAATGGTCAGATCGGCAGCATTGCTGCAGTCTGTGATGCATTCCTTTAACTTTAGTATAAATTGACTTTACATATGGTCATCCGTTTACTCGGTACGTAGTGCTTACCGCCACCGGCCCTTTTGTTCTTTATTGACCCATCGAGCCAGGGTTTTGACCATCCGCCCGGACCTCCATGTCAAAGCAAAACATGTTTTTACGGGAGTCAGCAAACCTGATTTGAAATGATGAGCAGATCCACAACCCGCCCCGTCTTGTATATCCTTACGAGCAAGCGTTTAGCAAACAGCTTTACAAACGGGACTAGGCATGCCTTGCTGTTATGCCATCTAGTTATTCTAGCAGGCGGGGGCCATGATGTCGCACGCCGGTGAACAAGCTTGACCAAGCATCGACAAGCATTTCCTTCCGCGGCTCATCGCTCCACTTAGTCTGGGCACCAGGAAGTACTACCGCGCACCTTGCATGGATATCCTCCAATCATAATCTCTACCTCTACGGCTCCATCGTACGTTTCAGGAAGGTCCGCAGGCTCTGCTTTATTGGCGACTGCGTCATGCTATGTGATTGCTTATCCACTCTCAACCTCTGCCCGATGGCACGGCCTACGCGGTCTGCACGGCTGACATACTAGACGATTTATCACGCTTGAATTTCCATGTAGAATATGTCTCCTTCTCTTCCGGGATAAGTGCCGGGATGCTTGTCCAGCCGTCATGCTTCATACTCGGTGCTCAAATACCGCAGTTTGCCTCGATTCACAGTCTCCTGCTTTGGTAGCGACCGCTCGACAGCCAATCTCAACATGAAGCTCCTTTCGGTCTTCGGCTCTTTTCTTTGTGCTTCAGCAGCTCTCGCTGCAAACGGCCCTCGCTTTATCAGGCCTAACAAAGTCTATCGCTCCAATCCAGTCATTGAGAAGCGTGTCCCTGGACAGGACTTTCAGAACCCAGAGATCAACAAGAGAGCTCATACCTTTTTGAACGCAAAGACCAAACGTGAGTACTGATGTTAATGTCTTGTGTATCTGTACATATATTCATTGTCTTTAGCCTTTGCTGTCGATGGCAAGCATGTCCCCTTGGTCAACTTCGACTTAGGCGAGAGTTATGCCGGCTTGCTACCCATCTCCAACCATGCGAATGAAACGCGAAAGTTATTTTTCTGGTTCTTCCCATCTACCCTGGACAAGACACCAGAGGAAATTGTCATCTGGTAAGTCAATTTGAGGCTTCCCCTGTGTGCCAATCTAACATTTTTGCAGGCTTAATGGTGGCCCTGGATGTAGTTCACTCAGTGGCTTGCTCACAGAGAACGGCCCGTTCTTGTGGGAGGATGGCACTCTTGGCCCAACTCAGAACCCTTATTCATGGCACAACCTCACCAACATGCTTTGGATTGAACAGCCTGTTGGCGTCGGCTATTCCGAAGGTGAACCCAACATCAGCAACGAAATTGAACTTGGCGACCAATTCCGTGGTTTTTACAAGAACTTTGTCGATCTCTTTGGTGTCTGGAATTGGAAGACATACGTTACCGGAGAGTCGTATGCTGGCTATTACGTTCCTTACATTGCTGACGGCTTCATCCGTGCCAACGATAAGAAGTACTTCAACCTCGCCGGCATTTCAATCAATGACCCTATCATTGGTGACGATGTGAATCAGCAGCAGGTCGTCATCCGGCCGTATGTCGAATTCTGGCAAAACGTTTTCTACTTGAACCAAACTTTCTTGGAAAGAGCCCGAAAGCGCGACCAGGAATGCGGTTACACCCAGTATTATGAAAAATACTTCAAGTTTCCTCCACCAAAGGGGCCCTTTCCGACTCTCCCTGATCCATACAACAGTACAGGTGATGTCCCGATTTGCGACCAGTTCGATAACTACGCCCAAGCCATTGCCGCGGTAAATCCTTGCTTCAACATCTACCACATCACCGAAACCTGTCCGTTCAAGTCCACACCGCTCGGTGGAACCAACCCAGGAGATTATGTCGCACCAGGCACCGAAGTCTATTTTGACCGCGCAGACGTCAAGAAGGCCCTTCACGCCAGCCCTGATAGCAGATGGATGTTGTGCACAGACAAGAACGTCTTCGCCGGTGCCGGCGCAAACAGCTCAGACACATCTATCCCACCCGCCAATAGCGGCGCCCTCAAACACGTTGTAGAAAAAACAAACAACGTAATCATCGGCTCGGGAGACCTCGATATGCTCCTTAGCACAAATGGTACCCTCCTAGCCCTCCAAAACATCACTTGGAACGGCGCACAGGGTCTCTCCAGATACCCATCCGAGAACCTCTACGTGCCTTACCACCCCGAATTCAACGGCGGTGCACTAGCCGGCGCCGGATACCAGGGTACTTGGGTCAAAGAGCGCGGCCTGACCTTCTACACTGCGCGTCTTGCAGGTCACGAGTTGCCAGGTTATACGCCTGGCGTCGGATACCGCATGTTGGAGATTCTGCTCGGTCGCATTCCCGATTTTAGCAGCACACGTGATTTCACCACCCAAACCGGTAATTTTACTGGTACCACTGATCTCTATTAAGATATCTAGCATTGTCTATTTTTTACAAATGATTGAGATATTTCGTTGTAAATAACTACTTCTTAGTATATAGCAATAGACATTAAACCCTTAAAGCTTAGTGTGTTGAACTTAAGTTACGAGTATAAGTATAATATAATAGTTACTTATAGGAATACTATTTATACCGCTCTGTTGCTTTATCCGCGAAAACTAACCCTAGAGTCTTGACACCAGAAGTCTTATATTACTTCCACTCAAGATCTACTCTTAACATATAGAAGTAGATGTTCATTTTCAATCAATATCTCGTCATTGAAATTCTCCTGCATCTTCTTTTTCGGCAATCACTTTGTTCAAAAGTGCCCATAAGATTGGTCATGGTATATAATTGATCTGTAGGAAACGAAGCTAAAATCCGAGAAAATGTAGCTGTAGTCTCGTTAGCACTCTTATGAGACCACATTTATCACTGACATGCAAGACTGGCACTCAAGTACAACCCGACGTGGTCGAATCTAAAGACAACAGGTTGCTATAAGCTTCAGTAAACAATGCGGTAGTACTGGAAACACAGTTGCTTCAAGCCATATACATTAAAGCAGGTTTTTTGACGGTGTGAGCATACGTCATACATGTCTTGATGATAAACGCGTCGAAGATGAATCTTTGGCTGTCCTTCGTTCCGGTGAATGACTTTGCGATAGTTGAAATACGTATTGAAAGCGGGGAAGAAACCTCTTACGGACCATTCCAAACGACGCTCAAACTCAGCACTGTCAAGCATTTTATGCTCAATAGCTCTGACGTTGTTGTTTTGTCGCTCAAGATTGGCGCCGTCCACCATCAATTCAGAAATAGTTACCTGCGCAATCACTAACGAAAACATTGGACCGCTATATGGTCGCTGTCGAGGACATCAAGTTCACAGTCAGCGACTAGGTATCTGAAGCAGACATTACAATAGCCTGTACAGATACGAAGAACCAGTACCTATGCAAAGTATAGAAGGCTGAAAATGGCCACGCATGTAATAATGTCATCCAGCCGATCTTTGGATGTCCAAAATGACAATCCCGACAAGCCACACGATTTCAAGGTCTTGTCAATAGACCGACATTGAGTGCGAAAGTCACGTCTTACAAAGACTCAGGTGAACAACAATCGTCTGAAGGACTGTTCTCGTCGCGGTGTTCCATAGCCTAATCGTGTTGCCGTCCATTGATGCCAGTGGCTCGCTATCGGGAGAGAAGAATAGACCTCTAACGGATCTTATATGAGTTACGAGTGTTTTACCCATACTCAAGTCACTGTCTGAAAACCTAGCAGTCTTTTTGGAAGCTGCAGTTGCTGCCAACCTGTCTGATGAGAGATCCAACGATGTTGACAATTCAAAATTCCCATGAATTGATTTGAGCGCTAACCTTATAGACAAGCTCCACCATTTTAGCCCCGAACTTCACGATGCTGAAAACCAAGATTTGGTATCTGGTGAAAAAAGAGCGTTGAGGACCTGTTCCGAATGAACATGAAGCGTATGAGTTGGCTGCCGCATTACTACACCTAGCAACCTGATCATTCTATGTTTCAGTGGCCACACGGAACAAAAAAGATCAAAGGGCTCCCGAAAGAGTTTTGATGCGCACGGAATTCTGCTTTCGATGGCTTGCATACACATTTCAACGTTCTGAGAATAAACGGTAACGTCATCGTACAATCATGGTCGTGCTGGAGACGCCCCGAGCGAGAAGCATCTATTAGGTGTATGTTCAGGTATTTTCAAAATACCTTGCCAAGACCCTCTGCAAAGTTGACGAATTCATGTTCCCCAGCACGCCTCTCCTCTCATCTTCGCGACCGCATAAAAGAGATGCGCCCCCAACAAATGAGCGGCTATATCCAAAACCACCTCAAATAACATAAAAGACCTACCAAACTATGGCAAGTCAGGGAAGGATCTTGTAGCCTCCACGTAGCCCTTTTGAGGCCGCTCGTAGTATTCTAGCCAACCAAGTGCAGAAGTCAATTGAGTGTACTTGGGAGCATAATCCGTCATGTCCATCCATATCCATCCAACGTCTTCGTGATCATCATTAGTCTTACCACCATCCCAGTCTCGAGTAAATTCTTCAGTGGGTACCTCCACTTCTTCGCCGTCCCAATCTGTAGTCAAAATCTTCAAGGCTGGATCTTTCAATTCAGGCTCCTTAGGCCCTCCCTCCAGCGAGCGTAAGCAATCCTGGTCCACAAATATGCAGTATCGCCATCGAGGAGGCATAATGCCCAAAGGATGGTTCGCGTGGTGCTTAGTGTTACTAAGTATGTAATTGTTCACGAACCTGTACAAGTCCGCCTAACTTTTCTAGATAGTCGTCGGAGAGCTGTTGAGGCAGATTATCCGCTACCCAAGCGCGAAATGCGCGGCGTGCAGCGTATGCCGCTGCGCTAGATAAATCTGCGCCGGCAAGCGTTGCTTCATCCTCGATGATAGTCATCTCGTAACGTGAAAGCAGCTCTAGATGATCTGCCTCTGTCAAAGACTCTGAGATCTCCGCACGAAGAAGTTCGAGCATTTGGGCCCACGGCGCATCGCTTAATGGACCATAAACAGTGCGGACGATAACAAAACCCCATTTTATATCTGGCCGTAAGGGAAGGAAAGCAAGCTTGTCTTTAATTTCATGATACTCCTTCGGCCTCGGCTCTCGCTGTGCTAAGAACTCTTGACACCGTCTGAGAAGCTCGGAATTAGTCTCGGAGGCGGCGGGTGACGACATGGCGCGTCGGCACCAGGCAAACAATGCGTGGGGAGTGGCCTTGGAATTGTCGAAAAGTGGAATCGGCCGTTGGCTGCACAAGGAGGAAATTCGGGTACGTTGTTGAAGGCACAAGTGCCGAATCAGCATTCACACTGTGCAAAGAGATATGCCACACCGAGAGGCGGCAAACAGTCCTTATATAGTAGGTGGGTTTCTGCAAGGCACGAAAGCGATCACGCTTGGCGTGTAGTGGGAATGGTCAGCGCAAATCATCACCCGCGGCGTGGCCAAGCGCCGGATAATGCGCAACTTGTTTTGAGCTTTGGCCATTCCCGCTAATTTTCCCGTAGAAGGGAAACAGGGGACCCTGATTATGCACGTGATCTCAACGTCTGGGCGCTCGCCTGGACTACTAGCTATCCTGCGAGCTATTCTATTGGTTGTCACTATGTACACGCCTGCATTTCAAAACCACCAAAGTTAATAGTACGAGCTAATCATTGGAGGCGGGTAAACGAGATTAGCGATAGCTATATTCGGCCCGATCAAATCCCTACGCAGACAGCATAGTCTAGATACAACTAAGAACATTCCCCAACGCCCGGATTCCATTTATAAAAGTCCTCAAGTGCGATACCCGCTGCATTCGCAATTGCCCAACAGCCGTCACCTTTTACAACAATGTACCATTTCTAGCACGATAGATTGGCGCCATCCTAAGTTTAAGTGGGCGGAGGCACGCCTCCACTAGTAGTTGTAGGTGGTTGCGAAGTCGTACGTGTCGAGGCGGTAGCCGTAGGAATAGTATCGCTCAGTAAAGTTTCTGAACTTACTACATGCCGCGCAAGAAGAGTTAGCAAAATGTACATGCAGATACATTCGAGTGAGATCGATAGAAGATTGTGCGCGGCTTACCTCTCTGGATACAGTAGCTCTAGCCTTCCTGCAGTTGAGCGCGTTAGAGATTTTAGCTGTTGATGAACCACCTTCAAACTGCGCGATAGCATACATGCGCTGGGCTTCTGATAATTCACAATCCCGCATTCGATTAGCTGAAATTTCAGTAGAAAAAGACGTTATATGAGTGTAGTAATATGGTGTTGAAGAAAAGAGAGCTCTATGAAAAACGTGTTGTTGTTCTGCGGCCCGTGCACACGCGAACAGATCGCTGTCCTAGCACTGTATATAACAGGACTGGAGAGGGCCTCCAGCTCACCGGTAGCGGCCGTACACCATCTATATTCCTCACCGCTTCTTAGCCCAGAGACTGCAACTAACGATTTAACACCGCATTAAACGTAATTTTGTTCTCTAGCTTATAGCACCCAGCCGCTGGGGAGTCTATAACTACTATCTTACGCTCACGTGGCTAAGAGAGGCGCAATAACCCTTCAGTTCTTATCTTGGACTAATGCTGGTTTAAAAAGGCAGCTGCACCTATCATACTCAGGAGGCATACGACGAGGTGTCTTTTCCAATTTCCATTAGGAAACAAGTACCATGCATATACCGTTAACAATGTGGAAAAAATGGCTAAGGTTTGGTAAATTTTGTTATTCAGCGCACGGAAGTAACAAAGGATCGTAAAACTAAACCACAAACTCATAGCTGCGACAAGCGGATCTGGATCTATAGGTTATTAGTAGTTCTCTCGGCATTCAAAGACCACTAACCTTCTTTGAAACTCCTCATCTTATTAAGGTACTAATTAGGGATTAAAATGTAAGATAAAAAGGGATCTGCGGTTATAAAAAATAGTGTATCTCAAAGCATTGGAAATTACAAGAATAGTAATAGAAGACAGAATACTAGAAGCGGTAGGCGAGAGTCGTGTTTTTAAATCAGCTATGTCCTATGTCGCCAAATCTACATCTTCATAGCTGCATGTAAACATAATAGAGCTTGCATACTCTAATACAACTCGTGGGTATGCTTCTGCATTAAACTCTGTGATATGCATAATATAGAAGCTATACGCCTCAAAATACGGTAGAGCACGGTCGGGTATATATTTCAGTGCACGTTTTAGTGTATATTCTACTACACGTTTTAGTGCGCGTTTTCTCGCATGTTTTTTCGCATGTTTTTTCGCACATTTTAGTGCATATTTTTTCGCATATTTTTTCGCACAATCTTTCGCACGTTCTAGTAGTTACACTATTTTTATACACACTTTAGTACACGGTCTTCTGCACGTCTCAGCACGCGATCTCCCACATGCTCTCGTGCGTATCGTGTAGTGCAACTATCGTGAAAACAAAATAATTAAAGGTACAACCAAATGAACTCGATCACGTGATAACGCGGGCACGGGCTAATTAACTGCTCAACGGTTCAGGAGCAGGAGCAGCGCTAATATCTCACTTTTGGTTTTATACACCAGAATAGCTAGATCACGGTTAAATGCAAACAGAGACAGTTGAGATAGTGTAAAGTCACTTGTTTCTGGCTACTTTGCCAGTCTGCGTTACGGCCCAAAAGCCTAAGTGCCTAACGCGTACGGCAGATTGTAGGACCCCTCCACAACCCCTCCACAACCCCTCCAACAATCATCTGCTGTCTTCAACCTTCCGAGCCTCTCAAGTATCGCATCTCAAAATTCTATACAAGGCACATTTACGATCGCCATCTAGGAGCAAGTACTCCACTATCCGAGCAGCATCCCGGTCCGGGTACACTTTTACGCAACGCGATACCGTACTGCGTCCCCAGTGTCGATTGGCGACCCCTCCGCACACACGCCACACACAGACACGCACACACGCCACGCACACGCACGCAGGCACACTCGCATACACGCACATACGCACACGTATCACAAAACTCTACGCGTAAGCTCCAACTCTCTGGCCAATTCGCCCAACGCTCTTCTTGTCTAATATCGTATCTTAATAGTAGGTAAGATTAGTTTTCGCATTTCGTAACTAATCTTTTCTAGACTTTCGACGCCGACAAAGTACAGCCACCTAATACAGACATAAATTTTACACATATCAAGAATAATATAGCCACGATAGTAACGGGCCGAGGTCAAACAGTGGAATGGAGAAATAGCAGCGTTACTGTCTTTAAGAAAGATAGAGAAGGGAAGGAGAAGCGTACGCGACTACTTCATAATAAAAATAGAAGAATAATAGTTAAGTTAGGCTGGGAGTTATACATCGCGCAAGGAAAATTCGTAGAGTTAGATTAAGAGAAGTTTATCGTTGTGTCGCTATAACACTAAGCTTCTTCTAAATTTTAACACCTTCTAATACGCTCAATATTAGATCGATTGTAGCCCTCCTCTCTAAAAAGGTAATTGATACACAATTATTTCTTCCAACTCCTTCTCTCAACTCTTCCGCTCTAATGCTACATATAGTAATTGCAGCATGTATATCTGCCCCGAAAACAGTAACAATGTCCTCATCCAGGACGCCCTTCATTATACACTAAGAATAAGAGATAATCTGCAATAATCCATTCTCATGCAAGATATAAAAGGCATTTACCCTCTAAGTTACTTCTACCTTAAACAATGCTATCGCAACCTCTTTAACACTTTCTTCACGAAGGTCCAACAACATACAACAAGGCCCAGAAAGATCAGGTGGCCACCTCGGCATACGCATTACGACTGCGTTCTAGTTCTTTCTCAGGCCTATGTTCTCAACTCTGTCTAGTAAGTATTATCCGAACACCTTTTCAATCTCTGCTCTTTCGGCGAATTTCAATTCTACCCAAGGTTCTAACGGATTGTTCGATAGCTGTTTGGTTGCCTGGGATAGTAGTGTAGTCCTTTAGTCTTCTAAACGATCTAAAATCGATCGCATCGTAGGAGAATTAACTATGTCATTACGCCGTTCCCAGATCCTTTCAACTAATTTATCAAGTATACCTGCTTTCGTAGAACTAATCTAATTCTGTAAGAAAGTGATAACACATAACTTATAACAGTTAGAATCGATAGCTAACACTCTTCTCAAAAACACAAGTCGCTTAAGAGAAGCCCCTACTCTCTTTATTTTCTCATCTGCCGTAACTTTCTTAATACGTACGATGTGGCCTTTTATAAAGCGTTGCGATAGCTCAATGCTATTGTAAGTATCTATAAGCTTTGCCTATACTAACTCGACATTTTAGAACCCGACTTGATTGCAGGGTCGTCGCGCTGACATTATGTTAATATTCGTGGAGTTGATTGTAAGAGTGAGTGTCTAGCTCGAACGAGCAGTTAGGGGGTGATGAATTCACGACATGATTAGTCAACAGCTGCACTATGCTTAGTAACTATGGGGTTGCGCGTGCGACACGAGATATCACGTGCTTTGCCAAAAACGGACGCTTAAAAAAATACATAGCGTACGCTGCGATAACAAGGTGAAGTCACGAGCTACGTCCGTACAACCTGCCATAGCCAGTCAGTATTAATGATTAAACGCTGCGATGCTGCTTTAAGGCGGCAAGCGCCACTAATATACTAAGGCTCCCAACATGCAAGAGGGATGAAACACGAACTACTTTAAGGCTAATATATCTGGAAACAGAAAGTAGACTCTCAGATTATGGTGACTGAAACAGGAAAATTAACGGAAATTGGTAACCTAGAACGAAAAATTTAACGGATATGTTGACAAACAGCACAGTTACATAGTGGTCAGTATTTCCGCTTGTCAAGCAATTGACAGATCGCGGGAGACTGGAGTTCAATTCTCCGCTGGAGAGATTATACTTTTTTTGGTTCACGAACCTAATGAAAGGTTAGTTGCTATAGGCACATTCTTATACTTCGATGTACTTCTGCTATTAAGCGAGATTTCTTTTTCTTGGCTATTCATTAAGAGGAAGAGGTATCTTGATTAACGTCTATGCCTAAGTCATGAGATGTATCCTGCCCGCATGCTACTCCGTTCCCCACTTGTCATTGTACTGTGTATGTACTGCCTCAACGGCTTCCAGTGTACAGCGTGTGACTTGATTTACCGCAACGTCAAAAGAATGCAGTGGCATTGTTGCACCGAACACAACTGGCAGCCCAGCCGTCAACGCAGGGCAGGCCGTCCAGCAGGTACCCACAGCATGTGGACGTCCAATGTATCATGCCAGAAGCTCCACGGCACGAGTATACTGGGAATATTGTTCCAGGTTCAGGGAGCTAGCTGCACCCGCTGAACCCAACCACAGTGTTGACAAGACCCAGCTCTGAAACGCATTGGCTGCTCCCGCCACGAAGATTTACGAGGCCGTCGAGAGCAGGAACCTCAGCACCATCATTAGCGAGGACAGCAGCCGCTGGGGATACCAGGCATGGCTCAACCGAACTGGATGGGCGCGCCATTTGAAAGGGCTGAACCGAGAGTAGCTGCTCGACATGGCCCAAACACCCAGTGATCGGGAGCGCGCATTGCGAGACGTGTGCTGGGCCGCCGAGATGTGCATTCCAAAGGTGAAGCAGGCTTCACTTACTAGTAGGTAAGAAACGGTATTTATATCTGGTAACCAATTCCCCTGGCAACATGGTCTCCAAACAGTGGTGAACCGATTTCTAGAATAAAATTCGTTCATAAGTTGCTTTCTACTCTATAACTAATTATATCTTCTGATTATCGAGCTAGGTGAAATTTGGTTCAGTAGTCAATGTCGGCTTTATTAATTAACCTTGGGCCAGTAACTAAATGCTTGTCTTGTTTTCGTATGGCTTACTCAAATACATATCACATAAGCATAATGAAATCATGGTAGCCTTAACTAGCAATTCCTGTTCTAGCGCCGGTGACGAGTCTTCGCATATATAGGCAGGTACAGGAGCGATAGGCTCGGATTACTGAGTCCAGCAATATGGACCTCTTTTTCGACTCGACTGAAGAGCCCGGCAGACTATGGATCTGGTGTACTTGCAAAGACAGCATGGCAGCCGTTGGCTTCTTGTTTCACATACCAGACTGTGACCTGATACCTGACTTACGGGAAAACTGATCGGGGAGTGTAGGTAAAACTCTGAGAAGACTTTCGCTATCTAAGCTCCAACTGTGATCAAAAGTCGCGTGCAAGGCAACACCTCTTCACTTACATCTGCATTTCCTACAGCTACACCTAACATTTCTCCTTCCTTTTCTTTGACGATCCTTGTTGCTCTCGCCGGCTGTTACAGGACGCCGCCTTACTCTAGACACTTCCAATATACCACCTTGCTTTTTTATCCACTGCGGACCTTCCTTCTAGGAGTGATGTTTGACCTTCTCAGCTGTTGCGATCTCGGCTCAGCTCGATTCCAGCCCTGCTCTAGCCGCTTCTTTCCCTTCTTCTGCTTCCCACGTCCAACAACCACAATTGTACCTGTACTCCGACTGCATCCCCAATTCCTCCTCCCCTCATACTCTGTAGCAAGCTCTTCATGCAAGCGGAAGCTCAGCTCCCCAAGTGCGGTAGTTGCTGGTCCAAACCAGTCCTCGGCTACCAGACTACCCGCTTTGCCAGACGCAGAGGCAAACATCTCTAGGGCAGCTTCAACAAGGCAAATCGCGCTAGTGTGAGAAGGACTGTTCGAGAGGTAGAACGCCGTCTCTGTGCCGATTATACCAGCTCCCAGAACGACTGTTGCATAAGCAGACATGTTCAAAGTTGAATCAAGGATCTAAATGAAAAGGTTTAAGGTAAAGCAGAGCTATCACTCGCCTGCATAGACTTGGAAACAATCAATCCAAGGGCCTGTTCGATCGAAGCTCCAGTCCCAGTTCTAGTTGGCGTTTTTAGCGGCTTTTTCTTAACGGCGTGAGCTATACCGAATCTAATCGCGAAGCTGGAGGGCATGGTTGGCGGCAATTTTCCAGTTCCAGTCCAGTCACGTGATTATTTATTCTTCTAAGTATAACGTTGATGCCAACGCCTGTCTTGCATTGGCGTTAAGGCGTTGACGGAGTGGCCTGTCACATGACTGAACTGAACTGAACTGGAACTGTTGCTCACGAGTTGCAGTTACAAACTACAGCTCTTTTAGACGAAGGCAGAGATGAAGTAAGCACTAGGTAGAGTTTAATCTCTAGTGACAACGCTAACAGACTGGAGATTATCCAGATTACTGTTTTGAGTTTCGCAAAACTGAACTGAACTGGAACCGGAGCGCATTGTGGCACTTTCGCAAATTAAACGGCTAACTGAACTAATTATTCCTAAGTCTGCGCCTGCAGCGTAACGAAGATCGAATGTATCATAGTAGTAATCGCATAACGCTAGCCACTTTCCTTACCTTTCGTATCTCCTCTCGTGGGAATTTTACGAGTTTGGTATATGCTAATGGTATGCACAAGAGAAGAGCCATATTCGAACGCTTGACATCTGGTCTAGCTACGCATGGACGCTAATGCGCGTCAGCTTAGGATATTCATGTCCAAGCTTTTCCAAGGACCTGGACGTCAGTCCCGCCTCTAGTCAGCACGCTCACCGTATCTTCTACATAAGTAACCATCCGTGTATGCCTATCCTAGCCGCGCTCTTCGCATTACGAAGCAGCCTAGATATTGTCGCTCACAAAAAAGAGGGAGTAGTAGCCTTACGTAGCATTTAAATTCAAACGCAATATAGACTAACTAAAAACCTATTTACTACCCTTCTAGTAATCTAGAGTCTAGCTTACCTAACTAGATGCGACAGACCTGTAGCTGGGTCTGCATACTCCTCTAGTGCCGGCTGTCATCTTTTAGCGTGACTATCTAAATGGCCGTTAAACCCCTGGGAGGCATGGTTAGTTTTCGCGACGTATATAAAAGCAATGTAGGCGCCAACGATCTCTACAAACTTTCACTACTACCTGGCTACATCAGATACAGCAAATTCTGTTATTATTACAAGCCAAACGTTTATAAGATGGCTCCTACCTTCTGGTATCTCGTACTTCTTGCGCCTCTGCTTGGGGCTGTTCAAGCTCAATGCACCACTCCGAAGTCACGGACTTGTAACAGTGCTAGAACGTGGATCGTCAGTTTTCCCCACTTTATCACAAACAAGGTGTACTAATATATGATTCTAGATAGAGTGCGATGCTGGACTGCACGGTACACTGTGGGCAAATTGTAATGGAGCGAACTGCCGCACTTGCTCGACCCGTGGAGGAATCGTTTATCCCAGTTGTTCACCCTGCACTGACAGGTAGATCGCTGCGATATACGCTACAGCAGCGCGGCGCGCCAGTCCTCTCGGCCAGCGCCGTGAGAGTATTTGTGGCTTTACTTATGCTCCCAACGAGTAGTTAGTTTTTCTCAATAGTAAAACATTACTTACTTGGCCCAACGGCTGCAGTGGCAGACTTCGCATGGCCGTTCGATGTGATATGATGTTGCTTTTAATACTGTGATACAATGATACTATATTCGAGAGAAATGAATACAAGAGAAGATTGAGAAATATTACCATGGAAGAAATGATAGGGCTACCAGCAATAAACAGAAGAACATAGACTACAAGACTTGAAAAACGAAAAGACAACCACTCAGAAAGCACTTCAAACAAAACCAAGTCGCAATTCACAACTATTTCATCAAGTCCTCAAGAAACCCAAATCAACACCCCAGTCCGTAGTCCAGCCTGACTAGCCGCCTGCACAGCACAAACATAACAAGGCCCACCCGCCCTCCGTATAACCGCATTTTTCCCCCTCTCCGAACACCAAGCCCTCGCCAACAACTCTGCTCCCTTTCCCGTAGCATTGATTACCATGACATCGATATCCTCGGTATCCTCAGCCGTGTGCTCCCTCAGCTGCTCAATCGTCCAAATGCTTTTCTCACTATATCTATGCAGCTCCCTTAGATGAATTTCATGGGCGCCCTTTGGACCAGGACGACAGGGCGGGGGTGTTACGAAGACGGGGTTGGTGAAGAGTTTGTATGTTTGGAGGTCCGGGCTGTCGTCTCGTTTGAAGACGAGTTGGGCGAGGTACATGGCTTTTTCTTCGTCTTCGATGGAGCCTGTGCCTGCGTTGTTGCGCTTGAGCTGTATGGTCTTCAGTTCGCAGGTGCTGACTTGCTTGACGGGGGGCTCGGGGACAATCCAATTGCTTGCGTTGCGCATGTCGGCCATCCAGGGCTCGATTTCTTCGCCTTCTTTCGGCTGCGTGTCATCGTAGCGGTGGCTGGAGCTGCCGATTAAGATTGGTGCACTGGGGTCCCGGGATATGTGCTTTACAAGACTGAGGTTGCGCGCTTTTAATCGGACGTGGTGGGGTTTGTCTGCGTCCTCGGGGACTGGGGAGAGGAATTCTACGGGTGGGCAAGGTCCGATCCACCCGCAGAGGGAGATGATGCCTGGGAGACAGCCCAGGACTCGACCAAGTACTGTACGGACTCTCCAGTATGATTTCTTGGGGAGGGAGAGGCCGCAGTCGAAGAAGGGAGCTATGCCGGCCTTTTGCTTGATGGATGGCGTGCATAGGATCAATGCGGTCATGATCTTGAATGCAAACCATTGACCCGGAAGTGTCATGCCAAAGAGCCAGTCGTGCAAGTCTGCAGGAAGAGTCTGCCCCCCTCGCAAATCACTGTATGCTTCTTCTGCGTAGTTTCTTACCTCGTTGATCCATGGCCACTTTATTTTCTCGGCAAACAGCAGCAGTCCTTCCACCTGTTGCTCATGGCAGCGCGAGTGCATTTCAACCCCCTTCATCAATGTGTCGTAGTCTTGTTCTACATACGCTTTTCGCAGCTCTTCGTGCTTCTTGAGGTCTTTCTCTTCGTTGATTTTCTTGAGCTCAGCCTCTTGTTGGGCCTTTGCGTTGGCGAGACCAGTCCGCATGGCGGCGGAGACATCGTTGCCCGCGAACTCGATGGCACGCTCAAAGGCTTGGATGCCTCTTTTCGTAAGACCACATTTTATAGACGCGGAACCAAGTCTGGACCAGGCTTTTGCATATTTCGGATCAATTCTCGTGGCGACGTATGCATCTTCCATGGCGTCTTCAAAGTTCCCCAGAGAGTATGAGGCAGCTGATCTATTGCAGCGATATGTAGCATCCTTCAGGTCGATCTTCAGCGCTTCCGTGTAAAATTCGAACGCTTTCTGGTACATATTCTTGGCTAGAGCCTCATTGCCTTTTTTCTTGAAATCTTCAGCTTTAACTTTTTCTGCTGCGTTCTCTGCGCCCTTGAGGTCTGCTAAACTGAATCTTGGTTCTCCAAGCACAATTTCTACATTTTTGAGCCAGAGGTCGCTCACGATGAGGGATGCAAGAACTCGAGGGGTGAACCCTGAAGTCCAACTGTCATCAGTCTTGCTCTCTAGTCGCCGTGCAAGCTCCTTGGCTAGGATGACTTGCCAGAGCAAATTCCAGACTCCGCCGCCGTTCTTCTTTGGGTTGTTCCATTCGAGACAGATGCTTGATGTACCGAGGAAATTCACGAAAATGTCGGAGCGATTAAGCATGCTGTATAAATTGGACAACTGGCTGCTCGATCGGAACTCATACGAGGCATCGTAGTACGTAATGCCCATGCTTCCAGTAAACTCTCTCATATCCATAAGATCTATTTCACGATTCCACCCGAGTTTTCCAGCGCCTTTCTGGAGTTCGTCGATTCGGCGCAGCAACTTTTTAGCAGTAATGTTTCCCGGATCAGAGGCATTGGTAAAAACGGTGGACTCACGAGGGTAGTTGGTGTCTTCGTAGTCCCACGCGTCAAGTGCGAATCCTTTGACTGTGACGGTTCCTGGGTTGGCGTTTTCGTATTCCGAGTTGCTTTCGACGCTGAATAGAACATTGTCGTCTTCAGTGCCTAAGTCATAATCTTTTCCCCTCCGTTTGGCGTGGAACTTCTTTCTCTTATATAGCTCTTTTTTTGGTTAATCAAATGTACTTTAACGTCAAGCAGTACTCTGTGACTTACCAAAGCATGCATGTATTGGTTCTACATAACCGTCTTCATTTCGCGACCACCAGCGATCCTCTCCCTGCCCCTCGTAATAAACATACGCCGAAACCTTGGAAGAATAGCTTTGTGGATCATGAATACTGATAGATAGGGCACCTTTCTGTTTTGCTGAGCAGTATAACTCAATTTGTTCTAGTCTCTTCTCCAGCGCAGTCATTTCCGGATCGACAACTGTCTGCGCATCGTTACCAGCTTCTGCAGATTCGTTTTCGATGTTTCCGACTCGATCAAGGTCCTCCCAGTGGTCTTCGTCGTCTGCTTCTCTCAGTCCTTCTATTACAGTGCTCCTGTCAGTGAGTAACTCTGATCTCACAGTACTGGCGCCCAAAGCCTCTAGTCTGGCCGATGCAACGTCAGACAGGATTTCATGATCTTCAGACGTTGCTTCCTGCAATAGCTGAAGTTCTTCAACCGCAGCACTATTCTCCACATCTATCCTCAACGCCTCCGCAACCTGAAGCCGTGATCCGGGAAACAAGCTCTCCAAATTGTCGTTGAACCCCTTGATCTCCATGATCATGGTCTGAAACTTGCGTCTATCATGAATAGCCCACAACGCCTTCTTCCTCAACTTCGTGTCTCTCTGTCTATCCCTCGCAGCCCTTCGCAGATTCTCATACGGTCTCCTAAACACTGCACCTAAGATCCCAGGCCCAACCCCGACATCGATACTAGCATTCTGCGTCTGGCCCTCCGACGGCCGGAGCCCGTAATTACTCTGCAGTCGCTCTGAGTTATCGAAGATGTGCTGGATACAACCAAGGAGTCGCATCACTGTCTCATTCACATTACTCTGCTGGAGTCGCGTATCGGGTCGCGTATCGGGTCGCGTTGTTGAATTCTCCCCATCCAGGCCTATCATGTCGCCCCATGTCACCAGACGGATTCGCTCCACCTCGAGCTTCACACGGAGAAGCTCGTAATCCATACCATAGCTGCGTCCGGAATCGATAACATCGAATACATCTACGCATGTCTTCCAAAGGGCAACAACGCCCAGAGCCAGACCTGCGGCTTCGGTCATGATTTGTATAAGGGTTGGGGGAAATGGTTCATTGCATGTATACGCGGGTTTTGTAGGGGCTATATTGTAGCCTTACCCCGCTCGTGTTTCTCGCGTTCGCGAACCGGTCAGACACAGCCACTCTGTGCCGTCTTGAAGCCCAGCCGCGCCGAGCGCCTCAATACACCACTAACGTCCATCCCTGCAACTCGAGAACTCGTCTACCTTCTCGTCCTCGAGCGTCACCACAGCGCATTATACGACAGTATAATCAATTTACAAGCTACAAAACCTCGGAAAGTGGATATGCAATAGCATAAGCCAATTAGTGGTCATAGATTAGCGCTGCGATGCTGCTTCAAAGCGCCACCGATATACTGAAGAACACACAAGGGGGTAAAATGTTATCTCCTATCACAAGGCTATATACCTAAAACAGAAACGTAAAGTAGCAGAATTAATACATCCCCGAAACTCAGAACAGAAAATTTAACGGATATTATGGCAGACAGTATAGCAACATAATAGTCAGTATTTCCGCTTATGATGCAACTGACAAATCGCGGCAGACCGGTTCAATTCCCCGTTGAGGAGCTTTCTTTTATCGTTTTTTCCTTTTTAGCTTAGTAACAACTAAGTTGCCATCAATTCACTTACGTGCAGACCTACTACTACCTTAAGCAAATAGGCCATTTTTTGATTTTGTAACACTACATCCAAGTGACAGGCCTAGAGTTCCTTACACTACCTTAGAGATGTTCTCAAAATAGACAATCTCGTGGAAGAGATTATCTTTTTAGAGAATCAACATGTTAGCCGACAACAAGGACGTTGCACGTCGTGAGGCCAATACCTCATTTATTCGACAAAAGAAGAGAGGAAGGACGACAAGTGCACTAATCTCTTGAATGTATTCGCACACCTTCCCTACCACGAGCGCATAATTCATTTTTCTTTGCGGCTCGACAATGCATTGGGTAATGGGTGGGATGACTGTTGTTGACTTTCTGCCTTGGTATACCGTCACGCTCCATGATCTTCTGCGACAGCTCGTCGCGGAAATCCGCAGAGCAGAACAAGAGAACGTTACAGATGTCTGATTGAAAGCAATGGAAGAAATTCTACACCAGTACAGTAAGACAATATTCAATTTCATTACACTTCCCGGTAACATGTCTCACAGGCGACGTTCTTTGTAACTTCGTATCTACACACGCCAATCGATGGAACACACAACTCGTCAAAGATATCGTTGCATCCCGGATCGAAAATGGAGCTAGATCAAAATCAAAAGATGTCTTTATTTACGACTTTGGCCATGAAGCTACTTCCAACCACTACAGCGTCTTTCAAGACTCGGATCTCATTGGTTCTTTCGACTCAGAGCTCATGGAACACAACGCAGCTCTTTCGCGAAGTCTAGGTACTGAACGCGCAACATCGTTCGCAAGGAAAGAACGAGCAGTATTTTAAATGGCTTGGAATCGATTCGCGTTCGCTCCCATTGGTGGGCTGATGATTGTGGTTCCCATGCTTATATTTATTGTTGGGCATGCGACTACAAAAGCTTTGGGTGTTGCCCTCTTTGGGAAAACGGCCCCTGCGAATCTGCTCACAGCGACGGCAGCGTATGCTACTGTTTTTGTCACGTTGATTGCAACCGGGGCACCAGCGGCAAGTCCACATTGAGCCTTCCTTGACGCATTTGTTCTGGTTGTGTTCTACTTTCGCGAATGCTCCAAAGTTCAGCCTGCCATTATTTACCATGCCGATCCTGATAGTCGCATGAGACGTGACTCCTGTAGTCTTGTCAGCAATTGCTTGTGGGAGATATTCCATCCAGTAAGCGCCCGCTACTTTTGCTTTTTCGCCATTTAACCACTCAGCTCTCGATCCGCCAATCGAACTCAGCACATGAAGCTCAGCCTCATCTATGAACTAAACCGGTGAAGGTCCCTCAAGTGTTCAGCTGAGGTTTCCTTTACGGCGATTACATCATTCGTGCATATGCGTCATTTAGGGGCCTTGTATCGTTGGACAGCCTTGTTGGCTAGCCTCGTCGCTTGTGCTTATTTGCAAGGCAGCCGCCGCCACCTTTCACTCCTTTCGTCCATAGTCCTCCACAAATGTCGGTTTTATCTTGGCCCCGCTGCTGCAGCCAATCGATGCAACGTCTTGCATAGAGATGAGGGTTCGTCCGTGGTGCGGCGGGACGCATATGCCGTCCACGGCGTTCAGCCTTGTTGAATATTGTGTTTTAAATATAGATCGTGATCGAAGTAGCCTGAAGTCATGGTGCACCTAGAGATTTCTGCCTCAGCCTGGTTGAACGCATGACCACTTTGCCATCATGTATGAAAATTTGCACGTAATTCTATGGTTTCAGGCTCTAACATGTGCCACCAGACTCACCATGGAAGATCTTACCACGGATTTCGCGAAGGAGGTAGCAGACTCATTCTGTAAAATCGACGACAACATGGATTTCATGCCTGAGGACAAGTTGAATGACTTTGTCACACGATCGAGGGTGGAGTCAGTTCTAGATCTAGCTGAGTTCGACAGCTCCAAGAGCAGAGACGATATTGTGGATTTTGTTATAACAAAAGCCCCACGACTATTTCTTATAATTCTTCTGATGGAAAATGGAGACCTCGAGCACCAATTAAGATGCTGTAAAGATCAAGGTCTTGACGACTGCTCACTCCCCATTGTTTTCAACAAGGATGGAGTTGGTGAGAGCCTGCAAGGACCTTCAGATGGTCGACGATACACGTGGCTTCGAGGACCTAAACGAAACCAACGGAGGCTCTTTCTCGACTACCAGTGGAGCTTGACCATACCTGTTTTTGGGGCCAAGGAAAAGTTTCGCTTTGAGTTGGCTCCGCCACAACGGTTACCGTTCCTGGAAGAGGCCTCGGGACCAGAGGCTAATGGTTTCTTTGGCGAAGTGTCGCGGGCGGTGATTCACGCAAGCCACATTGTGGGCCATCCAGAACTTCCAAAAATCTCATGGACATCGAAGAAATCGGATCAGAAAGTGGAGATTCCGGCGTACGAGATCGCAATCAAGAGGTTGAAGAGAAGTGAACAAGTACCTGAGGTACAATGGGAGCAACTGGTCAACAAGGAGAGGGAAAACTTGAACCGAGCACGAGAACTAGAATCGCCCCATCTGATTAAGCCTATTGCCGCGTATGAGCGCAAGCCAGATCGTTGTTTTATCTTTCGCTGGGCTGACGGCGGTAATCTTGGTGATTATTGGAGAGAAAATGAAGCGGAGGCTCGTCAGCGAGAAAGTGTATTGTGGCTGCTTGGACAGTTCGTCGGTATTTGCTCAGCTCTGCAAGTACTTCATGGCCGGAATGTACGACATGGAGACCTGAAACCAGAGAACATGCTTCTATTCAAGCGTGGATATGACAGAGGATGCCTACAGATAGCGGATCTTGGTCTCACTACCTTTTACGAAAAAGGAGAGCACACGAATGTCCGCGTAGGTAAGGATACGAAGACTCCATCAGGTACTAGACGTTATAAACCCCCAGAGGTTGACGAGCTGCGTGGCGAAGGACAACCTCGCTCCCGTCAATATGACGTCTGGAGTTTTGGCTGTATTCTACTCGAGCTTCTCGTGTGGCTTGTTTGCGGCTATAGCGCCCTCGAGAAGTTCAGGAAGGGTACCTCCGAATATTTTTGGCGGGGACCGCAAGCTGATGGTAAACCTTACAAAGTCCACAAGTATGTTTTTTTGGTTATGGCATGGTTGGACGGACAGTTGGAAGCTGGCTCAGCCTACAAAAATATACTCAAGCTTATACAGGAAAAGCTACTCGTAGTTCCCGTGTCTTCGAACTACGAGAAAGCGAGTATACCAGGCTACCGTCATAAAGCCAGCGAGGTTCATCCAACCTTACGAGATATCTATGAGCGGAGTCGGTACCAAGAAGGGTATCTCAAGATGCCAAAATTGACGTATCCTTCTTTTGGCCAAGTCAAGGACATTGCCAAAATCGGAGGAAAGCTTGCGCCACCGAAACAAAAAGACCCTCCGAATCTGATTTCCGAACTAAAACCAGCCCCGAGCCCGGCCGAGGAATTGCCCCCTGAGCAGCCTACGGAAGAGTTGACGCATGGTATTCCACAGATGATAGTTCAAGCACCCACCTTTCATGAAAATCTAAACACTTTGAGCAGTCAGATATCGAGGATATCAGACCATCGAGAAGTATGTTAGATTCATTGAACATGCCATATCGATCGATGTTTGAAGCTGATCAGACCAATAGTATGTAAGCTGTTCACATTTAAGCTAGGATACCAGCTAATAGAGCATTCTTCTTGCGCGAAGAATGTAGGTAGCCACTCTCCCGATTCTATCCAAGCTCACTAACGCAGTAATACGATGTGTTAATAGTTAGTAAGTACACGGCTTTCTGGTGTATGACCTTGCTGATCAACATTCCGCAGTTTGTAGGTGCACCTTTTATAGCAATGAAAGCTATAGTAGTGATTGAATTATACAGCAATCAAGCAAGCTCAATGACGGCTGGACTTCAGTTCCAGATAATGACTTTGCTACAGATTTCTTCGAAAACATTGGGTGGGATCTGGTCAGACTCATGCCACGTGGGATTACCACGAGGCTGTGTGGTTCGTGCAATTCGAGCAACTCAGAGTCCATATTCGACAAGTTCTGCGACGTTGCAGTTCTGCAAGGAAAAGCTCGAAATTGCGATCTGTGCAGCCTTCTTCAAGACGCATTAGAATATAAAGGCATCAAGGCACCCATAACTGTTGAGCTACGTCAGAATGCTGCTCATGTGGGACTAAAAGATGGCCCCAATCTTTTGTCACTTTATTGTGAGCCAGGTAGAGTTACGCCCCAGGATTCGTAGGATGAAAAGTGCTGATGACCATGAAGATCCAAAACTAGAGCTCCCAGATGGCGCACATTTCGGCTTGCCAATCCTTTTCGATCAAGCCTCTCCCGAATTTTTCACTCTCCTTAAGGAATGGATCCGGGTGTGCGACTCGGACCATGACACGTGCTATCGCAAAGGGAAAGATGTACAGAGTAAGCCAACACGGCTAATTGAGATAGGCCAGCGGATCCGTCTTCTAGAGACGGAAAACATCCACTCTTGCCAATATGTCGCACTCAGTCACTGCTGGGGACCTTTGAAAGAGAACGAGAAATTCTGCACATACAAGCGTAACATCGAACAGCTGAAGACGGGCATCGCTTTTGAGGCTCTGCCACCTACCTTCCAGGACGCTGTAACCGTGGCTCGTGGTTTGGGGATTGGCTACATTTGGATTGACTCATTATGCATCATCCAAGATGATGAAGATGACTGGCAGCGTGAGTCAGCTAAGATGGAGCTCGTGTTTAGCATGTCGTACTGCACCATTGGCGCGAGTTCGGCAAAGTCTTCGCTAGACGGCTTTTTGCATGAGCGAACACCGCGAACTGTCATCAAGCTGCCTGCAACAAGTACCAAAGCCACTTATGCTTGTGTAGACATTGATGACTTTCACGCCGATGTAGAACTCAGCGCGCTCAACAGCCGGGGCTGGGTACTGCAGGAGAGAGCATTGTCTCGCCGGACCATATTTTTTACTTCGACGCAGGTCTATTGGGAGTGCGGAGCCGGGATTTATTGCGAGACGCTCGCTCGCCTTGAGAAGTAAGTTTGCCTTGGCTTAGCCAAACAGTTCGCCTCTTACGAGCTGACGCTGCCATAGTTCTAAAGTTGCTCTTCTGGGCGATGCAAACTTTCCCAACGCTGCTGTTGCTCATTACCGGGACGGTAGACAACTGCTCATTCAAGATCTCTACGAACGATACTCAGGTCTAGCATTTACTAAGCCTGCAGACCGGTCAGTTGCCATTCTGGGCTTGCAAGAAAGACTCGCTCGGACTTTCGGGACCAGGGCTGCCTATGGCCTTTTCGAGGAATATTTCGCCCGAGGGCTACTCTGGAAACGTCGCGATCTAACACGTATGAAGCGAATTAGCCAGCCACCCGGTCGTCGTGTACCGTCGTGGTCATCTCTCTCGAAAGAGGGTGGCATCCAATACATGGACGCCACGACTGAATTGAGATTCAGGGAAGTTGATTGGGCGGTAGATGATTTCAAGAACCCTTTCTCGGTGGTTGGTGGTATTGAGTCCGCTTCATTTTTGGGCTTCGCAAGGAAGATTAAATCGTCCAAGTACGACATGTTGGTTAATATTGCGTTCGACGACAGTGAAGAGTTCGCCGTCGAAGAGCTGAGGTGCGTAGTTATTGGGAAGGACAAGATGGGAGACTGCAAATTCGACTTGAAGCGCCACGTCCTAGTTATTCACCAAAGCCGTAACGCGTCGAGAGATTCCATCTACGAAAGAGTTGGGGTGGCATCACTTGAGCCTGCAGTGATCGCAAGTGAAGGGTCGTGGGTAACTATCTGCTGATGGTCCCTGTACTCACATTTATAGAAAATTGAATGATTTGGTAGACAGTTAGTCCATTGTCTCTTTAACTATAGATAGAATTTGAAAAACCTGTGCTGAAATTTGAGATTCCACTCATGAGTATCAAGTTGCGCGCTTTCGATCAAATCAATTCCAACCCCTTGATGAGTGATACAGACTCCGAAAAATACTTTTCGGAGCCATGACTTTGTCGTTGCTAGAACTGCTACTTGAGTCCTCCCTATAATGGTTGATGCTATCCGAATAGCCTCCTCCCTAAAAAGTTCCTGTCGATCACCACTTTGAGATTCTTTCACTGCTTAATTTCTTCTCTGCCAGCTTGATATCTTGGAGTCTTTCCTGATATGTTTTGGGCCCTATTGTGTGTTCCATCGAGTCTTCTTCGTCACCGGACCCTGGGTCGCGATTCTGCTCCTTCCCATTAGCAGCAGCCTACTCCGATCGAATCGCTCGACTCACGTCATCGCTCCCACGACGTCTCCTATCGACATAGATGATGTATACATTCTTTCGCAATGATATTCTGAACCGTTCTTTACCGACTGCATCTGAGAGCTGTCTTGAAAGATCCTTGGGGTGAATGCGATCGCTATGTTCGGTCCAGACAGAAAAGTTGGCCTCCTCTCTCACCAAAGTTAAAAAAACGTTGCTCATTATATTCAGATCCGTGAAGACATGAGATCAATGATGGCGAGATGGGGTCCTTTTACCACAAAATTTGCCTGAGTCTGGATCACGCCAAATGTCGTGGGCTGGAAATATCACCTGGCACCCGCACACTTCGGCCGACATTTCCTTATAATAACTAGAAGAACTGCGCGGGGTCCCATTAGTCACATCCAACTGGGCTGAGTGCTTTGGCGCCAGCTGACACCGGAGATGGGGGTGTGCCACGTCCAGGCGCCGCTATATTGGAGGCGCAGCAACTGCCTACCAACCGTCCAGTCTCAATCTCGTTCCAGCGCTACTATGTCATTGCCCAGTTTAGTGCTAGGACCTAGCACATCGAGAACACAGACAAGAAATGACTCTCTATCGTCCTACCACATGATTTCCTGGCAGAATGACTCCATATCTGCCTCCTTTCTCAGGGGTAGGGAATCAATTCCTCCGATGTTGTCATCAATCTAGTCAGCTCGGAGCAACAATACTAGGGGCGGTTTATCGTGCACCGTCGCCTTACTTACGGAGGGCTCAAACTCGAGTGCACAAGAAAGAAGGCAACCCTACACGAAATCTTCGCCCTGAATAGCCTGTCAAACCTGATGCTTCAGCCTGCCGCAAATCAGGGAAGGAGGGTCGACGATCGCTAACACCATCCCCACAAATCCTAAGCCACTTCCACGGAGCACACCATGTGGATGCCACACAACAATCGCCCCAGGCTTCGAAGACATCGGCCACAGCCACGGATTTTCCATGCGCCACTTGTGATTTTCAAACTGACAATCCGACGGAAACAATAGTGGAGGCAGTGCGGTCTCGGGACTCGAGGTTCCCGCCAAATGTAGCTTAGGCAGTTGCATGCGCCACCACCACCTGAGCGTATTCTGGCCCCAGGGCTGCCTTGCCTAAAGCAGGAGATTAGGCTTGCCCACAGACCTACCGTTCTGCGCACATGCAGCTAGGAATCAGAAAGCTTAGCTGCTCTCTATTGGTTCTGATTCCACTAAGGATAGGTTCACGGGCCTTAAGACGTTCCCCAGGCCCCAACAGTTTCGTCTCACGAACGATCACTCGATTAAGTTGCTCTCATAATCCCATAATCCCTATTGCTCATTGTAATCGTTTCTACTTACTATTACTTCCGAACGAAAAAACTACAAAAAACTGCTTTTGCCCCGCTCTTGGCTTTTCCTGTACGCTAATCGCCCAAGGACGGATCCATTGGGGGCTTCACTTCAGGTGAACCTTTATTGGGTGAGCATGGATCAGATCAACCACACAAGGGACTTTTTGCCTACTCCAGAAAACTCACCTGAACCTTCACGGTCACGTGCGCAGCGCCAAATCCCCGGCCCGATCTCAACGCGATTCAACTACGATGTTGAAGGGTTTCCTGGTGGGCCTAATATAACTGTCAAAGAAGACAATGGTTATCTACGGCCCATCAATGACAAAGATTTTAGGAAAAGCCCTAGCAGTGACGCATCTACTGTGCACAGAGTTGAAGACCTTGGTTTCAGTGCAGCCGCCGCGACATTCGACTTCGAATCGGTGAAGGAAGATGGTCTCTGCGCCCTTAGACGGCTTCATGAAGAGCGTGAAACCCTTTTTAATACCTTAAATTCACCAAAGACAGCACGGTTTGAATCGACCCTTAGAGAAAGGTTTGAGAAGAGTTTGGAAGTCAGCAAACCAGCGGCGGGCGAATATCTGCCTCTCGATATGTTTAGAAACATATTCAACTCTGCATCCATAATGCTACTTTTGCAAGAGAGGTTCCCGTCTGCTTCGGAATGTGAGTTGTTGGACAAGTTCCAGGATATCATCAGCCCGAACCCAAAGAAGACTCGAACGCGGATTCTGGGCGTCCTTGTAGCTATGGAGCGGCTTCTTCATCTTGAAGAGTTCATCAAGGGAGATATATGGGATAGCGACTTACCGTTCAAAGAATCAAGGGAGTTTACTCCTAATTCCAAGTCCAGTATACTTTATGGATGGAACCGAAACGATCGCGTGCTATTCTATGAGAACCAGAGGGTCTTCTTTGTTCCTTTTTTCGATATTCACGAGAATGGGCTGTGCTCTTATGAGCTCGACCGCGGGACAAGGCTTCCCTGGGTCTCTATAGAACCCAAGTCAAGTGGTGGCACTGGACTAGTTCACCAAATTGAGATTCACCCTAGTCATCACAACTTCTCCAAACCTTGGGTATAATATTACGAATCCTACCAACCATAAGTAGCTGACCTCATCAGTCTACCGATAACCCAAAGTTTGCACTGAAGGAGATCGATGCGTCCGAGCAGCGTGCATATAGGAAAGAGCTCCACGCGCTGGAGAAGACGTGCGCACACGCACAAACGGAAAACCATTTGATCAAACTTCTGCTTACTTTCCAACATGGTAATACCTATTATTTGCTCTTTGAATGGGCAAATGGGAATCTTCAACAATTTTGGGACACAAATCCACGCATTGAGTCTACCCTTTCAAATGAGTTATGGGCAGCTCAGCAATGCTTTGGCCTGGTCAGAGCAGTCAGTCGAATTCACGGGCTTAGTTCGTGGCATGAGCTGAGGAGGAAAAGGAAGAGGTCAAATTCCATCGCATCTCAGAATGAATACGAATCGGAATGGGGAAGGCATGGCGACATCAAGCCTGAAAACATACTGTGGTTCGAAGAACACGGGACTTGCCGGAGACACCTCGTAATCTCCGACCTAGGGCTTGCGCGATACCACACCGAATTCTCAAAATCTCTGGTTCCTCGAGCACTGATTGATGGTATAACGTGGGGCTACCGGGCACCTGAGGTAGACTTCAGGGAACCGATATCCGCAAAGTACGATATTTTCTCACTGGGTTGCGTATTTCTCGAGTTCTGCGTTTGGTATTTGCGGGGGTCGCAGGACGTGGGAATATTTGGTCTCGAGCGAGAGGACGAAGATGAGCCTGAATTTGATGATGTAAGAAAAGATCAATTCTTTTGCATGAAAGGCGACAGCAACACCATCAAGGATGCATGTTTGAAGGAATGCGTACAAAAGGCATGATCCTTACTCAAGACCAAGTACTTTCATCATACTGACAACGATATAGCGATTGTCCCAACTGAAAGGAGGGACAAATTTTACGAAGGGACTGGCTAGTGTGATTGAGGAAAGAATGCTCCGCTGCAATCCATCAGAACGATCGAAGATTGATCTCATACGCGTCGATCTCCAGCACCTTGTTAAAACACTGAAAAGGGCACTTATTGATGAGCAAAATTCGCAGGACTGGGCTCAATTATCTACCAATTCAAATCTATCTACGCTGTTGGATACAAACAACAGATTGAGCAGATACTCTTCGCATTTGACACTCGACAGCCGAGAAGAGACTTCATCGATGGAAGGACGCGATACCAATGGGGCCAGATCATCCAGATCTGAGCAAGCACGGCCCGAGAACTATGAGCACGACGATAGTCACAGCGACTATGATGATATGCCCATCGAGCCTATAATCACCGCTGCGGAGTCAGCTGTAAAACGCAAGTTGCTACAGGCGGAGGTTCAGGAAATATCGGTGACTCCATCATCACACTCCATTGCTGAGCCGCATACCACACCCGAACCTACAGAACCTCCTACTAAACAGAAACAATCGATAGATTTCGGAGATGGCAAGGTTGAACCAAACAGGCGATCAACAACGACAAGGTTCAGGCATGCCAGAACCAGGTCAAAAAAGTGGGTCCGAGAAACTTGGAGCGATGTCAGGGGTGTTTGGAAGTGAAAGTGCTGTGGTTAGTATTACCCTGAATTGACCTGAACCATTTCAAAGCATGCCTCTAGGCGTGAGTACGCGGCTTCTCGGATTGCGGCCTGTATTTTGATTAATGCCGTCGGGTTCTGAGGACAGATTCCTGGAAAGAAAGCTCCTAATGGCTGCTTTAAGGCATCGAGCGCCACTAGGTGAGTGGCAAAACACGTGGTTCTTAGACGGCCTGGGGCACGCCTGCAGATCCCTGAATTGAGATTCTTTTAGCTAGCCAAATTGAGAGCGACGCACTGATATTGTTAATTCTAGGTCTAGACCACTAACGATTTTGGCTCGACAGCTTCTCTAGTCCTTGACGCAACGTTTCCTTATTTGTTTTTCGCACACTCAGCTGTTTCCTCCCCACTAGTCATGATATAGAGGTACCGAAGCACTAACGCAGCTTGTGGCTAACCTCCACCTACATACGTAGGCGTTTGCCCCTGAGCCGCGTGTACGCCACCCCAGCCTCGCTCGCCCTAGATTCAGGAACCGACTGCTCATTTGTCTGCATTCAGCCTTTGGCTTCCCTTTCCAGTTAGCGAATTCATTCGACATCGCGTAAATCTTGATCGCATGATGCCTACCGATATGCATGTCATGCACATGTGGTTATTGCGCGGTAAGCCGATGCACCTGGTCCTGGATCAGATTCGGATCTGGATCAGTCTAGAACAGAGATGTGGCTTCAGCTGCAGTTCATGGTCATTGTTTGCTTCTACTGAGGCGTTTACTAGCTTGTCTTGGCTACCTACTTGAGTAGCCCAAGTAGGACTGTATGTCGATGATACAAAAGAGCAGGTGTTACCACCTGGTCTGCTCCAGATTAATCCACAGGCTCTACAAATTCCAACACTTGTCTTTCGTTACGCATGCTCATCATGAGACATAATTCGTTCGCTTCATTCCTCTTGCTGGCTCCTGTGGCCACCATCGCAGCAACTTTGCATCGGAGAGAGCTCTCTCCTGCTACGGAATTAAGCGGGAGCTGGACATACTCTGGTTGTTACGTCGATTCCGTCGCGGCACGATCACTCAACTCTGCATCCCAAGGAGATGGCACTAGCATGAGCGCTCAGGCCTGCACTGCCTTTTGTGGTGCACGTGGTTACCCTGTAGCTGGCGTAGAGTACAGCTCAGAATGCGTAAGCGTCCAAACATTCATTGATCACGTGAAGCTATCAAGCTTACCAAATGAATAGTGGTGTGGTACTGCTCTTCCGTCGCAGGTTGCAACCGACCCTACTACATGCAACATGCCTTGTTCGGGTGACGCCACCCAAGTATGTGGCGGTCCAGATAGACTGACTGTATACTCGCGACCTGCATTTACACGAACTAAGCCAAACCCAACTGGCTGGCAGTCACTCGGATGCTACACCGATAACGTTGATGCTCGTACCCTTTCAGATATGCATGCAGCTGGCGACCAGGTGACGATTGAGCTGTGTGCTGCTGCTTGTACTGGGTCGAAATATTTTGGTGTGGAGTATGCTAGTGAGTATTCGTGATTATTTGGCGTAACTATAATTGACCACTTATAGGCGAATGCTTCTGTGGCGACAGTATCTTGAATGGAGGCACGAGTGCGTCAGATGGATGCAACATGCCTTGCAGAGGTGATACAAGTGAATTTTGTGGAGGCTCTAACCGTTTGAACTTGTATCAAGCTGTTCTATCTCAGCCCTCTCCAGAGCCTTCACCAAGCCCATCGCCCAGCCCATCGCCCAGCCCATCGCCCAGCCCATCGCCCAGCCCATCGCCAGAGCCTGTTTGCGCACCCATGATTCCGACCGGTGGACAAATCATTAACGGTGGTTTCGAACTCGGCCCAACCTGGACACGCAGCTCATCTAGCAATGCAATCTCAAAGGAAGTCTATGGCCTAGCATATGAAGGCTGCTACTCAGAACTCCTTTCACCCATATCCTCTGCGGGCACGACTCGGGCGGTTGCTATAGTATCCAACGCGGCCATTACCCCAGGCACCACGCACACCCTTTCCTTCTACCTTGGACGTCGCAGCAGCTCAGCGGCTAATAATGCTGTAGTTAACATGAGGATAAGTGTTCCAGCGGGTGTATCATGGACACAGTCATTCCAGGCGTGTACGGGCGCTGCATGCGATCTTGTGGGTACAGGAGGCACAATTTGGAGGAGGTATCAGGCCTCAATCAACTTCCTTGCTGGTCAGCGCCTACCGCTTACCATTACTACGAGTTGGTCTGGCGCAACTAAAATTGACGGTACTGATGATGTGTTGATTGATGGTATCTTTATCACCTAGTTTGTATATTCTACTACCCAAGTAATTAGAGGTGTAAAAGCTCTACACTTCCTTGCGATTAAATCTACTATATTAATCATACAGAATATCTCAAAAAAAAGAGAAAGCAATCTTACTGATTGCCCTCTATCCCTTAGATTGCTAATATCGTCGTTCGCAGGCTACGCTAGTAGCAATATTCCAAAGAACTGAAGAACTAATCCAAGGACGATTCACATTTTTGTCAAGCGTGACTTTGTGTACTCTACTAGCTTGTCAATACGCCATCGGAGCCAATAACTGAAATCCAGTACACCGCATAGTTTCCTTGGAGGTAGCGTCTTATCTATATAGATTGAAGATGTGGCAGGATGATTGTAATATGGCTTACAAAAGCTCAGCAACCACCCACTAATGTACACTGTTCAAAGCTTCACACAAGATGATTTCGGTTCGATCGTTAAGTCCCCCACATGCGCATTGATCAGGACCTTCGATACTGCTGTATATATTGTGGTGTGGTATCACATGAATGTCGCGACCATGTTCTCTGGCACAGTTTTACCGATCACATCTTTCACCCACACTCTCAACAAGGACATGCCCCTGAAGCAGCATACTTCACGACAACTATACTCAGAAGCTATGCGGGTAGTATCGGCTTGGGGCTGCTTGCCTGCTTGCCTGCACTTTTCTCTTTTTATTCATCTCTAGTACCATCGGCTTAGAGTTCTACCCTGAGCTTTGTATTCTATACAAAAAAAGGCTGTTTTCACGGCAGTCCCTAATAGGTGACGTCGTATCGCTACTATAGACGTCGTCTCATGCACTCAACTTTCAAACTCAGTGGAATTAGGAGGACGGTTCTTGGGAGAGGCATTCTAATGTAGTTGAAGCCTTCTCGTTGATTCTACCCACAAGAACGATACCAGTAGGCGTTCCAAAGTAGAGAATAGTATCAGCGGAAAGGAATGCCTATTCCAACAAGATGGTCTCGAATGGATAGCTATTGACGTCAGATGCCTCTCCATACATAACTCCGTACACATATGCATCGCATACGAGATGGTAGATAGCGTGCCAGCGATAATTAGCAATTGGACCTCGTAAAACAAAAGGAACTGGGGCTCCAGAGACGAGGCATACTCGGTCGCCTTTTCTGATGTTCCCGTTTGCCATGCCAAGACGGCCCTCTTGCGTCGTGAACAGCCTTCTTGAACGGCCAATTCCGGACCGATGCATTTGCGCATAGAACTTCTTGATGTTGTTATCTTCTCGAGATTGAGAAGGAAATTCTACAGCGCCTTTGGATTCCTGGAAAGCCTTTAATACAGCAGCTTTCATCTCGTCAGACAAGCTATTGATATTACTAAAACTTCCAGCAGTTACGGTTTCAAAGCATATCGTAGAGACTGCTTTCGAGACTAGGTGAAGGTTCTGCCGTTTTAGCATCTCAATTCCTTCATTTACCATATCGTATTGGCACTTCAGAACTGCCTGCTGATCGAGAAAGGGAGATTCCATAGAACAGAGTCCAGGCCTGGACATCTCTTCAATAGTATCTATGAAAGCCGTCTTAAGAAAAAGGCTCAAATTGCCTGGGGAACTTCCATATAATAATTGTGGATTTTCTCTAGATTCTGAGGCTGCTTCTGAGATGTCTTTTGGCGAGGTAGCCTTGAAGTCATTACGCAGGGTGAATGGCTGGGCGAAGAAGGTGCATGAAAAGTCCGGAACCCAGGTAGGGACCGAGGCAAACATTACTGGTCCATCGATTCTTGGATTAGCGAGTCCGGCATAACCTAGAATACGATAATCGTAAAGAGAAGGAGAGCACACTATCATCGCTTTTGTAAACACGTTGCCGATAGAATCCGTATAGTCTGGTTGAAGGTTATGATAGTCTGCGAGGCCGAGAAAGGCGAAAACCTTATCCCGTGGGTCCGTCGCTTTGAACGATTGGAATTCCAACAGAATATCAGTAAGCGTAACTCGTGGTTTGCCGCCATTCTCTAGGATCAATTTTCTGTGAGCGCATAGTTTTGGAAATTGTTCAAAAACTGGCAGACTGGTCCGGCCCCAGTCGGAAGGAATCGAATATGAATCTGGAAGGCTGTTGTAGTTCTTGCGCCTTATCTCCAGGTAATCTTTCAGGAAGGGCAGGGACATTCCCACTGCTCCGCAGAGAAACAACACCTTGCGCGCGAGGCATACTTCCTGAACAATCCAAGCTCGCTCGAACCAGGGAGACTGCAAAACCGACCCAAATAGGCTATCACCGACGCCTCCAAAACTGCCGATGTCGCAAAGCGCAGTGTTGTTGTGAGTGTAAGGAGACGTTAAATATGACCAGAGAGCTAACTGGCTAGCTTGAGTGAGATTCCCGTCTCCTAGCCAAACGAGGACACATCGAGCTGCTGCATATATGTCTCCCATCATACTGACTTGAACGCCTTTCTCGCCGCAGTCCTCCTGGTTGATGCAAATCGCGTCTATCCAGACTGGGAGGCCACTTGCAACTCCCGAGATATGACGTAGGATAGAATAGACGGTTTTGGTAACTTTGAGATAGGCTCTGGATGAAATCGGTAGGTACTCTGTTGGTTTTTCACCACCCCAACAGTATGATATGGCAATGAATCTTCCACCTATGGCATCGATGGAGTTTTCGCTGAGGTGAAACCTTACTTTGTTGCAGTTGGATGTGGCTGAGTATTCCAGTAGCCGAATATTCCGAGCACATTGGAGTTTAGAGTATTTATGCTCGAATAGCCCGTCTTGATCATCTAGCTTTCCTGCGATTGAAACGTCTCTTGCTGGTTGGAAGAGAAGAAGATGCTCCTCATTGTGAGCTACAATCTCATCCACCATGTAGTCAGGATCGTATTTAACTATAATGTCGTCCATCGTACCGTCCATAGAGAAGAGATTGCGGTTCTATTGCTGAATATTTCAGAGTACAGTAAAAAAGTCAATAAAGCAGGTCCGAAGTTCACGGCTACAAGTGCAAACCCGCAGCCAGGTGTGGGTGCGAAACTTGGACGCAAGGTGATGAATTCCATCTACATGTCTGGCTGGTTCAAATCACGTTGGTTAAGACTGCTTGGTCCGTGAAAAGACACTGCAGTACATATAAACTCGAAAAGTGGGATTGCCATAGGACAAATCCAGTCAGCGTTGATTGTTAGACGCCACAATGCTGCTTTAAAGTGGCAGGCGCCACCAACATGCCAAGGGGCTCAACATAGAAGGGCGATAAAACATTGGCTACTATCATAAGGCTAATATGCCGAAAATAGAACTTTGGCTCTAAGTTTCTATAGCCTAGAATGGAGAGATTAATAGATATGATAGTGAACGGCGTAGTAACATAGTAGTCAGTATTTCTGCTTGTCAAGCAGTTGACAAATTGAGGGGCACTGGGATTCCACGCTGGAGGGCATATCTTTTGCATTTGCATTTGCTCACGCATATTCATTCTAATGACATCAATACAGAATAACCTTTTGGTATCACATTGTTTTTATCATTGGTATGCGCAGTAGTAGTCTTTATACTACTAACGACGGTTGTCAGAACCTGGTCTAGTTCGGACCAGTCTGATCCCATCCAGGTCTACCTAGGTACGCTTAGTTACCCTAGAGATAGTTATATCTATGCAGGACGAACAATCACTAGAGTAGCTCGCTAGTAATTCGTTGCGCGAGAATATGACTGTTTCCTCTCCATCGACTTTGATCCATATGCTTCTGTATCTCGTTTCAGCCAATAATGTTAAAATGGCCATCCGTTCTACACAGTTGTGCGGCTAAAGTCTTTTTTCCGCGCTGAAAGCTTAGGCTGCGTAACCTGCATATATTCAACTTCCGTAGCCTACAGGAACGCGAACAGCATATACTCGAGTGCTAACGGTCCTGATTCATTGCCGCGCTCCTGGAGATTTCGATGCTCTACCCACGTTAACAGCAATTCATCCTCGAGTCGCGTTTGAGTTGTCTCTGAAAATAGCCTCGCCACGGGACGATCGATATCTGGTATGCAACAAGCGAGAAGAAGCGAGGTGTATCACAGCGGTTCATCGCCTGGACGAATATCGCCAACGCCTGGACGATGCCAGTGATCATGATCAACACGACACGATCCACCGAGCGATCGTGGACGAGCTTGCAGGGGATCATACAAATCTATCAGTATATGCAGCGGCTCTTTGAAGCACGCGTCTGTGTCTTCAAGAAAAATCGCCTGCCTACACAGCGCTCGCAACCTTGCGTGATAGCGATCCTGCTAGCAAAAGTGGTACCGAGTCTGCTGCATGTTTTCAACTCACCGCCAAAGTCAGAGCTCACTGGGGTGCAGGAGTCTTGGAACAATATGCCTGGACGTCCCGAGCACGCAGCTTTCTCGGACGACTTTGGGCCATCGCAGAGTTGTATGCAAACTGGGCAACGGATGTTAGATACCTCAACACAGTCCTTATGCTTCGGCATGAGTTAGTCCTCTTAGGGAGGCTTTCAACGAGTACGCGCACCTGGCAAACTATTGGAAATGAAGTGAACAAAGGATCGCCAGGGCTACGTTACTTCCCAGTCACAACTGCGGATCTGAAGTATGTGACAGATTAGGCGAAAAAGGGCGTCCTAGAGCATGGTTCCGTACGCTCGTAAAATGCAGGAGCTCTACAAGACTTGTCAGGGTGTTAGTTATACCAAGCTTGAAATATCATCTCGTGATTGATAAGCTTGCCAAGACTACAGCTACTGCCCATGAGAGGGCTTAGTGCTGGAGTAGCTCGCGATTGACGATTTAGAAAAGAGGCGGAGTTACAGGAGGCAGAGTTACAGATAGAGACAAGAGAGAGGCCTTATCTAAAAAAGATGAAATTGCTGAGCAAAAGGCTGTACGCAGGGCTGTGAGGGAGATGAGACGGCACCTCCGAGATGCCACACAACAGCCAACATCTGCCCCCGCAGAGACCTCAACACCAAGTTAACAGGCATCAGTAACGTGATGCCTGCACTGTAAAATACCTCTCACCTAGTGAATACAACAAACATGCGATATGTTGCGCGTCTTCGCGGTCAATTTACCATACAAATCGCGTGGGTTGACGGAATTTACGTTGAGCTGGATACATAGAGCTTACTTAGTCCTGCTAGCTCAAGAGATCGGCAAAGGCTAGAATCTGTAAGTGATTATTTTTAGGATATAGAAACACAAGAGAAAGATGCCATTGCATGGAAAAGACGGTGCTGTGTTGGAAATCAAGCAGGCCAATCCCTGGTTGCATAATCCAAGAGACTGTGTGCATTGAGTGAGAACATGCTGCTGCTGCATCTCACCCTGCTGCTTACCAGATCATCCAATCGGGAATTTGCAAATCCGGTCCATGTTTATCACGATCCTGTTCATTTACCCCGATTTTGGTGAGGGAGCATGAGTGTGTGTTCAGCTAGTGATATTGGCATCACCTTAACACATAAAACGATACACATCTTGGCACGCTATCCCACTTTTAGTAGTCATGGAACTGCTAAAAGCGGGATAGCGTCGGAAAGTGTATTATTTTGTGTGTTGAGGCAGCGCCGGTACAAGGTTGGTGGATCTGGTGCACGTACTGGGTTAGTGACGATTGCCATAGCGAATCATCCAATATCATATTCATAGCTCCTAGTCGGATCGGTAGGGATAGCTGACTCAATAGTGAACCACGTTATTAAAGAGACTGTTCATGTTTCTCAGGAGTTCATGAATCAAATATCCTTGCTGTGCAGTAACTCGGCCTTATATGTCAGAATTCGCACTTGGCATTATACGCCTAGAAAGTAGTGACTACCCGCCGAGGAAACGTGATCTAACCTGGAACCTAATATGTTTTAACCATCTCTTCGTATCGTTATGCCTTAGGTCCAAGTTCATTAGGTAGATGTAATTTGTGTAAAGCAAGTAGGATTTCGTTGTCCTTTAAATATCTTTTCTTATACTTTCTTTTGATGAACACCCAACTATTACCTTCATTGTCTCAGACAGGTTCTACTTTCATTCAACTTTCTTCGTCAAGAACAGGCACTGCTGTCATGTATTGCAGAGCACACTTCCTTGTCGTGCTTCCAGCACTTCAGCTCGCCACAGCGAATCCGATTGCCTTCCCTCAAGGCGGAAGTAATTCCTGCCCTTCTGAAGATTTGAAAGAGGCGACCTGGAAAAAACTGGATCTCGATGGTTTTCTCGCGGGTGCTGCTCCAAATCTCACTACAAACGATGTCCAAGGGTTTGCTTCCTCGCTAGGAGCCCCCAACTTCTTTTGGTGAGTACTTGATACATTTACTAAGATGCTAGGTAGTAGCACAGTGCACTAACAACGGTTCTCTTAGTGGACTTGACCAATTTTGCAACGCCGGCCAACCTTGTCTTCCAGTCCCTCTTCCCGCATGGTAAGCTTATCTATGATCTTTATCAAGGATCTCACTACAATATAACTGTACTTTCGAATGTCCAGCTAACTAAGCAATGTAGGTATGCCCTGGTCGCAGTCCAGAACTATAATAGCTACATGAACTCACTCAATACTGCCATCTCATTCGCCGCCTCCATCATGTCCTTGGAGATACCTGCCGTTGTCGCCGACTTCTGGCCCGAACCTACAGACGATGTTACCCCTATCAAAGACATGGTTTCTTTGGTCACCTCTGCCCTAAGTGCCGTTCCATTCACTGGCGCGCTGGCCACAGTGAACACTGTTTCTGGGGTGGTTGCCAATTTCTTAACCAACCAAATGAAACCCCCGGAGCGACCAAATCTCTTTGTTAAATGGAGCGACATTGGCGTGAGCATCGCTACCGCTGTCAAAGACTACCAATCCACTGTTGCAAATTCTCTCCGAACTACACTCGACGCTGAGATCGACAACCCAACGTCAGGTATTAATTCCATTTTGGCCGGCGGTGGGTTCCTAGGCGTCGCCCAAAACTTCACGGAAACGGATATGCAGAAAAAGGTTGCAGATAGTATGAAGCTTCGCTCTATCGCTCTTCTACTGCAAGGGCAAAAGGCCTACATCTACAGGTCCACCAACCCCGCTGGCACCTGCAGTAACGGAGATCAGCCTTACAGACTATGCACTTCGGCTACTGATCGCCCAAACGCCTTCGCACTACGAATGGGTGACGATACTCAATTTGACATCGCTAATCTAATGATAACAAAGTATGGCATCTCCAAGGAAACATTCTTGCAAGGTCCCTCGGACTGCTTCGACGAACACGGTGTGCAGCTTTTCACCCCAGAGATCTTGCCAATTGACGCCTCCGCCAAGTGTATCTTCAACCTTCCGGTGTGCACTTTCAACGCCGATACTTTCCCGGGACGCACTGTCCAGGAAAACTGCAGACTACAAGGAATTGACGTGTAAATATTTGCGAAAAGTACTGAGAAGAAGAAGCCCTTGGTTGGGCCAAGCGCGTCGGTGACGCCTGTAAATGCTGTAGCAAACTGTTGCGGTACTCATAGGCCGCAGCTTCCAAGTGAGGCTATATCAGTGTCTATATCTTGCTCTTTTTGGGCAATTATGGCCATATGAAGCAGGCCGCTAACGATCTCGATTGTAATCACGCATCTGAAAGTGTTATCGGTATGGCCGTTGACGATAGGCTTAGGTAAACCTTACGACGAGACAGTCAGTAGCCAACGCCTCCAACTTGCTGCATGAAATCAGCAGATCAAAGCAAACCGAGACCCTAGAATATGTGACAGCCGTCCCCGTTCAAAATCTTTGCTACTCGCGAGGCCACATGTTTGCGTTTCATTGTCACCATTCTGCAGGAAGCTGGCCATTGCATCACCGAGCGTGACGATGTAGAGCGATTTGTCACTCGCAGAAAACGGTTTTGGTCTGGAGACAACTTGCAACGCTCGCGCGAAAGTCTGTGTGATGGAGCCTCGCTTTCTGGTTAAACCTGGTAGGTACCGATAAGTGTCGCTAATCAGATTGTGAAGACGTATTGTGAGCGTGACAAAAACGCATTTTATCAGATTCAGTAAGGTGACTATGCTTAGGATCACTTTTCTGACACGCAACGTGCATTTGTCGTCCATGTTGCGCAGCTCGTCTCATGGGAGGCAATGGTTCACTTTGGTCCATATGTCGGCACTTGGATCGCTTGTTATGTTGGTGTCGAATTGGAATCTCACTAACGTCCAGGTATCTTCGTAAAGGGACCTTATTTTTTTGGTGTACAGCTGACACGGTTAGCAATATTCCACTCTTTGTACATCCAGTCACTGTTTATACACCAAAAGATCGTATTTTCTGCACGATGCATCCACCCTTTTGGTTTCGGTGCGCCATGGTCCCAAGAGGATGCCGACTTGTCGTCAGCTGTGGTCGTCAGTCTCTCCGCCTCAAGCAAGAACGGCTGAAGCTTTGGCTAGGAAATGGCAGGGAATCGAGACGTGTCCAAACACGGTCCTCTTGCCTTGATACAGATGACATCAGTCCCTGACAAACTGTCTGAATACGATTCGGCTTTGCCAACAAGGGCAGCTGCATACGACGACACAAGCGCCATGGGGTGGGTCGAGCAATTGAACCCGTCACGGGTGGTCATTGTCAACTTTGGGGCATCCGACGCAGTCCTAGAGTCAGTCAGAGCCGCGGCATCAAAGCTTGCTCCAAACATCACTGTCGTTGCTGTTGACTACGAAGCCAAAGTCTACACATAAGAGGAGACCCCAGCCAGGATGGCAACTACCAACACAAAGGTTCTGGTAAACACGAGTAGGATGCGAGATCGCGTCATCGAATCGCAAGGCGCATAGGAATTCTCCTAGGAGCTAGATGCTACATGGGATAGGTGTTTGAATGAAGAAGTGTTTGCTAGTCTGCAGGTAAAAGTTTTGAATGCTTTTCGAGGAGAACAAGGCCTTGAAGGAGCATGAAATGCCCTGTGTGACCGCGAGGTTGCAGCAGACGTCGGCATGGTGGTTGGGTTTTCCACACGATAGACTTGGTAGGCAATGGGATCTCTACAGCTTATTCGTTTTTTTTCTCTTTTTTCCTGTAGATAAAAAAACATTACTACAATGAGTAGTAAAGATCACAGTTAACCATGAATATGCAGTGTAAGCAGGGTTGGAGTTACCAAGCTTCGGATGGAGTACATGATGCGACGGTGATACTTCGACTACATAGGGTCATGTAGGTTTATAAAGAGCAGGTATTAATGCCTCGTCTTCTTTTCGATTGCACTATCTCTCTTTGTTTTTCTGTCACTGTTTTGACTCAAGAAGAGTGAAGATATAAGTCAGTGTAGCGCGTATTTTAATATGTCAGCACAAAGCATACGAAGCTCTGCGCTTGTGGACACGGACGTTTTGAACCAACAAAATAATGACATTGCTAGCTCTGGTCTCTTTTAGCACGGATTGGAGACCCAGGCTGGTGGATGGAAAGTAGGGATGGGCTGCATAGGGTATTTGCTACGTGAGATTGTTCGTACAAGGGGGGTTGTTTGTTGTGAGTTACTTAGAAGAAATGCGATGTGATTTTTACGGGCTCAAAGAAGGTTTGGTACTGTTTGTATGGGGTATGCTTGGATTCAGGGCGTCTTGTTTCTTTTCTCCTTAGCTATTTTCGGCCAGGTTCATGTTGTGCAGTATGTAATTGCATGTTTTTTGCAGTCGGAACAGCAGGTAGGAAGGCTGGAATAGTGGGCAAGGCAGTAGGTATAGCAAGGGGCACCTCCTAGTCACATTAGTCAGTAGTTAGTAGATGCAACAGTGAGCAGTGGGTGACTAGAACGCTAGATAGATAGTATAGCGAGATAAGCAGGCTACTAGCAGTGACAACAGTAGGATATACGAGTAATGGGTAGCCAAGACTACACTACTACTTAGCGTCAATTTACTAAGTTCTTTACAACAACGTGCTAGAAGCTTATAACTCCGTGACGCATTAATGCATCAACAGTTAGGTTTGTGTTAAGCATAGCGGTGAAATCACTAGACGAATAAACTAGACAATAACCTAATCGTATTGGTAAAATGGCTCGAAAAAAAATGAAATTAGCATTTGGAGTAGTTAGCCAATTTCTGAGACTGGGAATGATTGTCAAATATATCGTATTAGCAATAACTATCACGTGAGTCGGAGGGACATAGATCTAACCCTTTTGCCCATAGCCACCCATTATCCTCCATCATCAATACAGTCTGAACCACTTACCCTTTTTTTGAAAAGAATCTTTGATACAACCAAACAAACGCAAAAATGGAGCCCAGCACCCTCTCTCTTTCCCTTCTCTCCCTCCTCGCTTTCGCATCTCCTATCCAAGCCTAAGCCCGCACAAGGAACTGTCTAAACGAAGCGTGGCCCACCCTAGCTGCTTGCAGGAACTCCGGAGCCTATGCGATCCGATAATCTGGTAATAACCCATCCTACTGTTTCCAGAGTAGTCGCAATGTGTATCAAGTTTGCGTCAACACTCAGGGTGGAGATCCGTAGGATGTGTAAGTTTGGATCTTCTTTTGGTGGCTTCGAGGGATGCTGACACGTGAAATTTAGGAGATGGGATTGATGATGTTGGGTGTAGGAGGGTAAGAAGGGTGGAGAGATGTGAAGGATGGAGAGGGGTGAAGAGGATAGAAAATACAGATGGGTTTATAGGATGGGGTAGCCAGAGATTTCATCATCTTGTTACTACAGTAATTGGTATATGGTTGATGAAATTGTATTGAATTTATGCTGATCGGTAATGCAATAGAAATTCGTCTAATGCATTGCGGAGACATGTATATTGAAGTTCTGGATTAATTCTGGAAGAGAAAGAGCGACTTTTCCGTTTACGCATGTGACTTTACAAGATTTCTTAGGAATCGCGCTTGTACTACCGCGTCTGCATGATACATGTTTGGCTTTTGTGTTAGTTAACTAGTTATTTGAATAACTACATGATATCGATGGTCGGATGTGTAATCAGATTCGATTCAACACGGTGCTTGAGTGTTGTAATACTCAGAGGCGTTTTACATGTCGTGTCAAATTTGGTGAGCGGAGATTTTTCTAGTGTCTTGGTTGTGAGTTCACCGCGCCCAAACACGTACAAAATGGTTCTTTGGCCCGGTACGGGAATACTAGCTGTTAAAATGGCACGTGGTTACCTGCGTATCTGAAGAAAGAACAATCAGCGGTTTGTCTCACAATACTTTGTTCTTTGAATGCACAATGCAGGAATGTAGGGTATGAATTCTCTGGCTAGAGGCGCAGGTAGCTTGTTAATCATGCATCTACTTGCCGGGTGCATGGGTGTTGGACAGTTGTACTAGAGTATCGCCTTTGAGCAGCGATAGTCAACGTACTACTTATGCAGGGTCTGATGTCGCTCTTGCGCAAATACCTGCACTTCCTGACTCGCAGCTCCAGAAATGTCTTCTCATATCGTTCATCTCATTCATCTAGAAAACCAAGGTTGAATGATGGAAAGCACTGAATCCTCTCTAGCGCTCGCGTAATCATAGCTACGTAAGCTGTCGTGACACCTGGCGTTCGAGGGATGTGCCGAGAACCGCCAATTACGTACCAAGCAGTTTCAAAGCCCCGACATCAACACGTCGGATCTGACACGGCCTGCCCACTGCGCAGGTCTCCTTGCGATAGCTCAGCCTTGCTTTTCTTGCTAACACGCCAAAGTAGATACCTCATAGGAATGCTGGCATTGCCTTTTGTAACTACCTACACGTAAGCTGTCCTCAACGCATGCTTCTGTCCTACGTCTCTCGCTAGCCGCTCTCATTCGCCGAACGCAGATAAGCCCTCAAAATGGCCGTAAAACCAGACTCACTAAGGGAGTCAAGCGAGGAAGAAGGGGCCTTCTTACCGCCCATTGACGACTCAGACGCGCTGCAACCTACCACAGGAGACAAGCCATGGCTCCTCCTCGTTGGCCTCATATGCGCTCTCATCACCTTCATCGACATCGGCGCATACCTTGCCGACCCGCCCATGACGCGCATCTTCGAAGCGAATCTATGCTACAAGTACTACCTCGAGCAGGACCCCTCGGTGATAGGAGGTGATGGAACAATACCGGAGGAGCTGTGCAAGGTGGATATAGTACAGCAGCAGCTAGCTAGCATCTTTGGGTGGCAGGAGATGTTCAACGCGCTCCCTGGTCTTTTATTGGCAGTTCCTTTTGGAACACTAGCTGATCGGGTAGGCAGAAAATGGATCTTTGCTGCGAGTCTGCTCGGCATTGTGTTTAGCTATGCATGGATTCTGCTGATATGTAAGTGCGCGTGTAAGAAAATGAAATTGTATCAAGTGTTGACATGTGTACAGGTTATCTCAAGAATCTACCTCTACAGCTGACGTGGTTCTCGAGCGCCTTCATGTTCATTGGCGGTGGTGCGTTTGTAGCCATGGCTATTGGGCTAACCATGATTTCCGATATCGCACCGCCGGAAAAGCGAACAACCATCTTTTTATACGTGAGCGCATGTATTCTGGTCGCAGAAATGACGGCACCCATCATGGCCGCACGGCTGATGGATCATGGAGACTGGCTGCCGCTTCTACTTGCTCTGGCATTTGAGACTGTTGGCCTCATTATGTCGCTCTTTATTCCGGAGACCCTACATTTGCGCAACCTTGAGCAACCGAAAAACATCGAGACGCAGTCCATTGAGTTGCAGCCGATGACGAGTCATTTCTCGATTCGCTCGCAATTGCGTAATTTGCGGGCTACAATCAAATTTCTAAGCGGCGACTGGACTCTCGCCACGGTCGTCTTTACCTTTCTCGCAAATAGGCTGGGCAGACAGTCCATTGCGCTCTTGGTGCGCTACGCTTCCAAGCGCTACAGCTGGGAGATTAAGAAAGCAGCATATCTGCTATCATTCCGAGCAGCTGCTAACCTCGTATCAATCAGCGTTGTCCTTCCTCTCGTCAACTTTGTGCTGTTGAAGAAATTGCATTTCCCAGCACCCCGCGCTGATATGTGGATCGCGTGTGGATCCATTGCCCTCACCACGATTTCCTTCTTCGCCATGGGCGTCTCCGCGTATCCTGCTCTATTGGTTTTTGGTCTTCTTGTATACAACATGGGATCAGGCTACAATGCCGCTATGCGCTCCATCTCTATTCATGTTGTCGGCGGGCAATCAAGCGCCGACATAGGTAAGCTCATGAGTACAATTGCCATGGCCGAGAGCTTTGGCGCTATGATTGGTGGGCCCTTACTTAACGAACTGTTTCAGTTGGGCATAGGGTTCGGCAACGCGTGGCTGGGACTGCCCTTTTTAGCTTCTGCGGTTATCTTCCTCTTCATGACATTTGTAACCTTCTCTATCAATGTGAAAGACAAGGAGTCCGCTTATGAGGAGCTAAACGGCGAGGATGAGGACAGTTTCTATGATGAGGGGAGGAGCTCCTTGTCAGAACGCGAGGGCGTAACTGAGCGCAGAGACTCGACGTGATAGATACATTTGAAGTTATTACTGGTTTAAATTTTGCCTTATCATCTATTCTTTGCTGAGTTGTTGAAAAAATCTTCCTTGAAGCGACCATGTCTCTGAATAGAAGTTTCTTCCTGTTTGTGCTCCATGTTTCCTACTGTCTTAAACTGCACAAATATAGCAAGCACGGGGTAGCCACCGCCAGACATGGTCCAACGCACATTCATCTAACCGTGTCATTGACCTCAGCATCCCAAATCACGTACACCAACGGTGCTTCATTACCGTTCTTTATACTGCATAGAGACAGCACGTCCTTAGCACTACTTCAATAGGTCGGATCACTCTCTTACCTCCTTCACTCAGCGATTGATAAATTTACCTTGTCATTACAATGCTTTCTAGTGCCAGCAGCGATGTTGAAGCTCGTCTCCGCCGCTCTAAGTCCGCTTCGACCGTCCACAAACGTCCCACCTCCACGGCGGAGCCGATAGATATGGAGGCCGTCAGGCAGCAGGCAGTGGCTGCTGCTGCAGCCGCATATGTACGGGCACATGCTCAAGATGCGACCGGACATACCACCAGACCGAGCTCTGATCTGACGAGATCCAAGAGCAGCACCAGCCGCAAATCTTTCACGTCCCAAGGCAACCATTTCCCCCCTCGTGGTTCCAGCTTTCGATCGATGCAAGCCCCAAAAGCCGAACAGGGTCGAGGCGGCCAGATACAGTCACAAGCGTTGATACCGACTACAGAGCAAACCAAGGGACAACCTTCAAGTTTGTATCAGACACCAACTATCGGTGGATCGGCATCGGTACCACGGCGGTTGCCAGCGCAGCCTTCAAGGACCTCAAGTGAGAAAGCCAGGCCTAGCTCTCAGCAGAAGACGTTTCGACCAAGCACCGCGTCCTCTGTGACCTCGCAACAGATCCGAAAGGCACGCTCCATGTACTACGCAAGCATTGTCCAGACAGGATCGCCGATAGGAAGACCACCAGCGGAGTACTTGAACACACTAGTATGGGTTAACGAAAATCCGGTGTCAGAGCCTCTATCCTTGCGTTCACAGACTCGAACGCTTCGAGGCTCGCCTTTGACAAAGCCGCGCATACCAGTCACTGTTGCGCCTGGCGTGACGCTTGACGAGGCGCGGGACGAATATTTACATGAATTTCAACAAAAGTCAGTCAAACACAAGCCATCTATATTCCTGGCACCATTCAAGAAAAGGCAAGAGAAAAGCAACGACAGTGCGAAGAGCACATCAGAAACGCATTCTCTCTCTCAGTCGAGAGAGCAGACGGCCAACGAACCAAAGAATGAAAACGCCCTCAATGATTACCTGCCACCGCAAGAGGCAAAAGAGAGGCGTTCCTTTTCTGGTTCATTAAAGCATAGAATCAGGAAAGTTTTCCGACGGACTTCAGCTAAGCGGAATGACCTTCCTGTGCAACAGATCGAAGCCAGCCGCGACTACTTTGATGTCTCCCACTTCAGCCCTCCAAGCGCTGAGAATACAAACTCCATACCATGCCCAGACGAAGCAACACTACAGCGTGTGCATGGCCGCACTTCCTCGCTTGATAGCGCTCGTCCTAATCACCTCCGATCTGGGAATCGAAGTGACAGTACTGGCAGTGGGCGCAGTGCTCGAAGTCTGCACAGTGAAGTCAATGCTCCGCAGGTGCCATCATCCCGAGTGACGAGCTGGGGAACAACTTCAACTGGCGATACGCCGACGCAACGAACCATCAAACGCATGACGGTTATTCATGAGTCCAGGGACAGCGTTGGGAGTGAAGCAGAACACGCCGATCCCTCGATAGCGTCAAGGAGATCATTGCCTCTTCCACCACTCTCATCCTTTCGCGAGCCCATGCCCATGGAAACCCTTCCTGAAGAGAATTCAACTCATATTGACCCAAAAAGAGTCTTTTCTGCCTTGATGAGAGAGATCGGTTCGACTAAATCGTCTCATGAATCATCAATAGCCGCCAGGCAGATATCAGGTGCGGAGAGTGATGTACTTGAATCGAATACTGCGAACCACCAATTCCAGACACGAAACCTGCATTCTTCTGGAAGCTGCAGTGTCCGTCCAAGCATTAATATCGATGTGCGGCCGCAGTCACGACGATCTACGTTGGCTCACAGTGTCCGGAGCAAAACTAGCACAATCAGATCACTTGGAAGAGCGATAAGATTGACCATCCGCGCCGTAACACCTGTTGAAAACCATCTTTTGACTAGGGCTGAAGATATATATCTTGGACAAAGCGAGGAAGATATCCACAAGAACGATGTCGTACTTCAATCAACCACTATTCCCGAATGCGAAGATAGCCAAGAGCGTGCCAATGCCGCGCAATGGCCGCATGGTATCAACAAATTCATCCCATCTGCCTCACAGATCGAGAGGCGCGTGGAGAAAACCCGAGACCGCTGGAGAGCACAACTGGGAGAGGCTGGGAATTTTCGATTTCCACGTGAGATGGATAAAACTTACGATGTTACAACAGCTGTTGTCAAACCTCAAAAAACTCCAGACGCCAAAGCTGAGTATATTGAGAAGGCAGAGGATTACAACCACACTATCGCCAATCAAAGTCCTCGACAGCCACGAACAACACCGAAAGCCATCACCTCACCACAGCCGAAGGTCATGATAACGCCAATGTCTCCTAGCATCTATTCTAGAAATACAGATGGTATCAGCATCAATCTGAGCGACAGTATCGTGTCTTTCGATGGCTCAGGCCAACTAGGGCACTCCCACAACGCTGGCTCAGCTGTTATTCTCACGTCTCAGTCTGTAAGAAGTTATGTAGTAGGCACTCCATCACCAAAACGTCAGGCAGCGGCTCACACGAGTCGTGACTGGAGGGCTTGGTTGTCACATGAGATCTCAGGAATGGAGTTGAGCAGTCAGGAAGATTTCTCTATCACCGGCCAATATAAAAAATTATCGAAAGACGAATCTCCGAACTTTACGCATACGCAAAACAACGATATGAACGACGCCTCATCGAATAAAAACACGCATGATAATGTGTCTCCCGAACGTCAATACCCGAACAAATCACTCCGATACAGTATGGGTGATGATACTGGTATGGACGCTGCGAATCCTCAAGATTATAATTCTTTCCCCAAAACTTCGGATTTTGATGATCCTCGGAAAATTTTTGATATGGGAATTACCATGAACAGTCGAGTGGACCATAACCCACTACCTCAACCAGCCGCTTTGGTGATCAAGCCGCACCCAGTTTCAACGTCTAAGAGTCACGCATCGTATCCTGCAGATTCTGAGACGCCCAGGCAGTTCTCGAACGATAGTCACCTAACTGTTATCAATACTATTCGATGTTCCAGTAGTGATAGCTTGGCCTCTCGACGCTCGAAGTCGCCGACTGATAGTATGATCGCACTCGATTCACCAAAGTCTTCAAAGTATTCGCCCAAGCCTGTGTCTCGCTCTACACTCCCTTCCCCATGTTCAGAAGACATCCTTGAACCGATTTTGATAACACCACTAAAGATAAGACGCACGCAACTAAGGGTAAAGGAGAATTTAACACCGCAGTCTTTTCGCAGCCAAAATGAGTCCACTTCTACACCTCGAACAAACCTACAGCAACCGCTAAATCCGACGTCACTGAATTATAGCCCTCCAAAAATCGACCAACAAGACACAAAGTTAACCGGATCCAGTCTGAATAACGCGCAACCAACTCCAACTTCACCACCACTACGTCCCCGCATCCGCGTCATCGCGCGACCCATCTCCCCCGAGAAACCCGCTCGCCGACCAAAAAGCGCATTTGACTTACGATCAACAAACAGCATTGCAAGAACACCTGCCGTATACACTACACCGCCGCCTGCCTCTCCCCCAAAACCCACTAGCCTCTTCGACACCGAATCTGCAAGAAGCAATACCCCAGGCCATCGCATGGCCGAAAACTTCCTCCGACAACGCAACAGCACAACCGCACTTGGTGGCAGTACCGGTAAGCGTAGGGGAGGTATGGTGTTGGTACGGGAAGATACACCAGCGTTTTTATGAGGGATATATGCATATTTAACACTTTTCTTTGATTATGAGTAATGAAAGATATGGGATATTAAATGGTCAGCATAAAAGAGTATGGTTGTAGATTTGTATTGGATACGAGGAGTACACTTGAATGTTGGATAGGGCTGCTGGCCACCCTTTGATGCTTGGGTATATGGGTAAGGGGTATAAGCGTGTAGTGTAGTCTTGTAGGGTTAATGTCATGAGTGTATGGTTTCTTATTGCGATTTTTGAGATCATAGGTCAGGTTGTTAAAACTGCCTAGTTGCAGTTAAAGATTTTAGTTTGATTGAGTTTATAATAAATTCTCAGTGTAAGTAGCGAATTTTGTATGAGTATTTCAAGGATCTGCATATCACTTTTCACGCATTGATTCATCTTGACTGTTCTTTATTTTAATCCGTCATTGCTATATCATGTAAATTCTACTTAGCACATATGAGTAACCAAGCGCACTTTTCAGCTTGGTCAGGGCTGTCTTCACAGTTCAGGATTTTACTCTTAATCATGACAAATACCGCACTTGAAATTTCACCCCAGTGGATAAAACTGGGGGTATCGATGGGAAAATGTGTGGGTATTTCGAGCAATCGCTGATCGAGTAATCACAGTGACTTGTCATGCAGCTGTTGGGAAGCTGATTGATTCATTGCGAAGGTAGTATTGCATAATTGTGCCAACGATTGATGCGAGGGAGATCACAGTACGTGTTGAGTTCTCGATTGATTGGGATTTGCATAGAGAAAAACCTGGATCCACATCGAATGATCATTTTTCCATATCCGGACTCAAACTGGCGATCCATTAGTAACGGACGATTTTTCGGTAGCTAGAGCGATGATCAGATTGAGTGGTATGATCGAAACAACAACAAAGATAGGTTACGCATCCTAGGCTGGTCAACTTTGCGAAATACGAATAGGTACAGCCCGAATTCATGGTTCAGCAGACACCTCCATACACCAAACGTTCCGATACATCACCAGTGATCATGACATTTCTACAGCCAAAGGTAATACCCGAAGCAGTATATCGTCATGTGCGACAGACACTAGTCCTGTTCTGACCATATTCCCAATCCGCGGACCGCGCCTCCGCGGCCCTACACATCACACGCTTAATTCGTATGCAATGCCATGTATCACAAAAATATAACAGTGCCATGCAGCCCTTTCGCATGACACAACAGGAGTCAATCGACACATCGTGCAGCAAGACCCGCGACACCAAAAAAGCCTAGAGCACGCAACACATTTCCTTGCTTCTGCTCTCGGGTATCTCGTACCGAATTTAGCACCTGTCTCGTGCACGCCTAACGATGACATTATTTTTTTTCCTCCTCTACAATGGCTCTGCACTCATCTTGCTTTTCTCGCTTGTGCGACATGGGATAAACGAAAGAAAGCGCGCAGCCCTGTGCAGCCTGTCTCCGTGCACCCACCACCATCAACCTCACCGGTGCGTATCGCGCCAAAACCCTCCACAACACCCTTTTCTTTTCCAAAAAAAAAAGAAGTTTCACTCAACCAAACCGTGCAGAATTTGAACCTAGCAGCCCAACCCTTTCACACCTTACTCGCGAAAAAGATAGCAGAAAGAAAAGCAAGGCAAAAAGTCAGTGTCTAGGGCGAGTAATCATCCCTCATCGCAATCAGCAAACAAAGCTAGTCAGTAGTAAGTCCCCACCCGTGCTATCCCAGTACAGCGCCTACACTACTACACGCACCCCACCCACACATCATCCTTCACGGAACTCCGGTGCCCTAATAAAACAAACCCTCAAAAGTCGGTGGGTAGATAGTTCGAAACAAAAACCCTTCTAGTGCATTACGTCGCGTTTCGCGCCAAGCGAGCCCACACCCTCACACGTGCAAACCCACACACCCATGTTGCCCTGCAAACGGTAAGCCCTGCGCCGTAGGTATAGCCCAACACCCTACTATATACTAGGATATCCCTAGATGTCGCAAGTGTCAGGACCTGGCTGCCGGGTACGTTGGAAAAGAGAAAGAAAAAAAAGGATTCGCGTGAGCGCGCTTGTTGAGCGGGTCGGGTGCGGCGTGTGCGTTTAGGGGTGGCTGTGGATTTGGCGCTCCTACAGGGTTATGTGAGAGGATAGGCTAGGTTGGTCACGTGATTGCTTGATGTATAGAGTGTACTGTGGTTTTGTAAGCACTTGTGTGTATATTTGGATATTTGAGGTAATATTGATGGATGGTTAGTGGAGAAGGTCTTGGATAGGGTTCTTGTTTGCTTTGGTGTAATTGTATGGTATAGTTATGGTGGGTGGATGGAGAAGTCACAACTTGAGTAGTTGGAGGTGTGGACAATGCCGCAATTGCTAGTTTATATATCTTTACAGTGTAAGAAGAAGTAAAAATTGTAAACATGTTGACATAAGCGGTGGGTATACACACAAAGTGGGTACAATCTACTTTTTGTCACCAGAAGCGACATTCTAGTTGTTTGTGTGTAGATGTACTGTAGTCGGGGGTGAGTTTATGCCCAATCTCTTTTATAAGCAATTGCAAGTCTTCATTCGTGGAGCTCATAACTAAGTATAAACACTGCCAGTAATTTGCTTCAAGATGAAATAATCGAGACATCCAGCCGTTTTGATACTCGCCTACCATCCTACATGCAACTTGAGTGAGACAAATGAAAATATTTTCCTCGTAGCTATCATTACCTACATGCAACACCCACATTGAAAGAATAAGAAACCAAAGGAGTGTCCACTACATTATGTGTATTTCGCCAATGTAAATGAAAGAAAATAAATAGAAGAGTGTGCCTATCAACCTTCTAAAATGCTCGTAAGATACATCCATCTTTGAATTCCCTGCTATTTTTCAAAGGGAGGACAAATGAAAATTGAAAAAAAATAGAAAGGCAAAAAGAGTTGATGTCTAGGATAACACACCAAGACCGTCGTCCACATCCTCTCTCATACCTACCTCTTCATATAGGCTCTTGAACCAGCTACCCTGGCGCTCTAGTAGCTGGTGTGGCCTTCCATACTCCACAAGCTGACCCTTGTTCATGACGACGACCTTGTCAAAGTCAAGTATGGTGTCAAGTTTGTGTGCCACAGAGATGAGAGTGTGGTGAGGGAAAGTGGAGCGAAGCAGACGTTGAACATGAGCATCAGTCGTTGCATCAAGGCTGTAGCGTAGCTGTTAATAATTGATGATTGGAGAAAAAGAAGACATGGAAACTTACTTGCTAGTGGCTTCATCCATAATGACGACGCTCGCCTTGTCTTTACGCAACATGGCGCGCGCCAAGCAGAACAGCTGGCGCTGGCCATGGGAGAAGTGGAGGTCGTCAACTTCGACGTCGAGTGGATGGGCGTACTTCTCCGCATCTCCCTTGGCCACAATGATATCCCAGAGCTGAACGTCCTTCATCACAGCCATGATGGCTTTGTCGTTGGACTCGCCCAAAGGATCAGCGTTGAGACGAATGGAGCCGGGAAGTAGGTAAGCGTCTTGCGGGAGACCGATGAGGCGACTACGGATAATTTGGCGCGGTACCTCTGTAATTGGGAGTGAGTCGATAGTAATGCTGCCAGAAGAAAGCTCAATCATGCGGAAGAGAGAAAGAATCAATGATGATTTGCCGCTGCCGGTTCGGCCAACAATAGCGACCTTCTCACCAGGATTAATTGTAAGGGAGAGGTCAGAGATTACAGGCTCTCCGGGACTGTGCTAGTTAGCTTATGCATGTGAAGGACGATCTTGGGACTTACCGATGGCATGCTTCAATGTTCTTGAACTGGACCTGTCCAGAACTAGGCCAGTTGGGTGGTGGAACACGGTCCTCGCCTTCTTTGTTTTCCGTAATGGGATCAGTGGTAAAGCTCTTGACTCTGGCGACACTACCAATGTGTGTTTCAAGTTGTGTCCAGAAAGAGATCAGTAACTTGATGTTCTGAGAGAAAAGTACAACATTGAGCAGGGCAACGCCTACATATCCGGCGCTGAGTTTTCCTCGCAGCGTGACCACAAGAACAATAAGAATCGTGGCTATTGCTGCAACCAACAGATCCAGCACAAGAGTCAACCAACGTTGGATTGCGAAGAGTAGGTAGAAGGGCCGCTGGCTACGATCAAGCAATGTCTTGGCCTTCTTGTCCACGTACTCTTGCCAGCCGAATGCACGAATGGTCGGAAGTCCCTCCAGTATTTCGCTGAATTGCGTGTACAGGGGAGATTTGGCTTCCAAGTCGAGGAATCGAAGCTGGCGCGAGGTGCGGAGATAGAACTTCTGAATGAAGTAAACGCTAATAGCAACGATTGGGAAAGCGATGGCTGCGTAAGGAGCTGATACAGCGATGAGTGCCATCTGACCCACACAAAGCACGAATGTAGCGAAAGTGTTCAATGCAGCCAATGGCAGCTCCATGTCGATCAACATGAGATCTTGGCTGAAGCGGTTGAGAGTGACTCCAGAATCGGTTGTTGAGAAGAAGGACATGGGTGAGCTTTACTTTGTTAGTCTCTATGATTGAATCGACAATGAGATTCTCCACTTACCCAAGCACTGTATCCAGGAGCTTCTTGTGGAATGCAACACCCGAGCGAGGCACCATGGTGATGATAAGCTGCCAACAACTCACAATCAGGAAGATCATGGCCAAGCCACCGAATGTCGAATAGATACCCAACCAATAGCCGAGACGCTCGTTTGGATGATCCTGATTATAATCTGCCCACATCTTGACCCAGACAGTGGGGAAAATGATGCCGAATATGAAGATAGTGATTGAAAATATGAAAATCAGAGTGGGAATCCATCCCACTGAACCAATGTAGTAAAGGTAGATAGCAGTGTCGCCCATACGGCGGTTGGCTTCCGCTTGGCTCTCATCCCCTGCGAGCTTGCTGTTGTCCGTTTGACGTTCGCTGTACCTAGGCGGAGCTTCGTAAATATGCTTCTCTGGGCTGTAGTTCCAGTCGGGCTTTGCGAGATCGAACCCTGATACGTAACCGCCCGACCTCTTGAGCTTTTCGAAAGACCCTTGTTCGGAAATTTTTCCATCTTGATTGAGAGAGACGATATGATCGCAGTAAGGAACTCGCTTGGCTGCAGAATGAAAGTCAGCAAGAACTAGCCGGTTAACAGAGAGCTTGACACATACCAGATGATGAAGATATGAGAACTGTCGTCCTGCAACGCCTCAGTAATCCTCGCTTACCAAACAGGCT